AAGGATGCTCCGCCTCCCAAGGAGAGAGTTTCATATCAGACAATCCTGTGTGCCAATCTGAGACTATTAGCTACATGGTGCTCAACAAATTACTTAACACCTCTGACCTTTTGTATCTCCATCTGAAAAATGGATATAATATCACATGCTTATGTACCAAGACTAACAGTCCCTTGGTGAGGCTCAAGTTTAAAGAGAAATGTGGTCCAAATACACATAAACAGTTTCAGTTGCATATGAGTCGGTGTCAAGATGGAGAAAGGCAGAGGATTATAAACAAGGAGGCAGTACACTGTTCTGAGAATTAAATGAGATACAGTATACAAAGTACCTGGCACAGAGAAGGCACACTCAGGGTAAATTCCTGTGATTCTCCAAGACAGACCTATGCCTCTAGCTCTGGGGTAAGGAATGTCCGGCCCCTGGGCTGTATAAGGCCCTTGAAATCAATACCAGCTAACATCACACACCTGACCAAATATAGCAGGCTAATTTTTAAGCTGATAATTTTGTATGGCTTGCGAATGATGTTATAAATATCCAAATGGCCCTTAGCAGAAAAGAAGGTTCCCCACCCCTGCTCAACAAAATGTTCTAAGATTCTGTCTCAGGAAATGTTGATCAAGGACTGATTTGGTTAAAGTGGTAAAAATGGCATACGGTTGGTTAGTTTGTAGAATTACAGAGTCTCTTCCTGCCCTTCTAAGGACCCTGCACCTTCCCTGGCCTATCTTCCTTCCCTTTCTTCTGGTTCAAGTCAGTGAGGGAGAGTAGAGTAAAGTGTATTTTTAGACAGTCAGGCTCTTTAGTTTTCTTCAAATCACAGCAATAGACTCTCCTTTGCTGTAAAAGTGAATGCTAACATGCAGTGGCATATTGGACACCAACACCAAAAGGCAGTGGAGCCTCATCCAGCACTCCTGGGAAGGGTGTTACCCTGTGGAAACAAAGGGAGACAGTGCTCCTTGGCAGGCAGCCTACTGACACTGATGAATTATGTATCTGGAAGCTTCTTCACATTCCTCTTCCCTGATGCTTTACAGGAACCACATTAAATTAGTTACACATCTCAGAGACTTGCTTTGAAACATGTGGATTACTTATGATGTTACACTACTATAAGAACCTTTGAACTTCACAAATGAAAGAGAAGCCTGCACATACACATTTTTTAAACTTCATTTTTATATCCCAATGCCTGTTGACTTTCTAAACACTTGTACCAGGCGGGCTGTTCAATTCATTCCTTGATCACAAAATAATTTTCGTACTTTTATCCTGCTCAAACTACCTTGTCCCTTTTCTTCACTAAGCAGAAAATCTATCTTGATCTTAGCCTAATTTGGATATCTTTCAAGTACCACTGATAGCTTCCCTCCTGGGCATTCTTGTTTTTTGTTTTGTTTTTTTAATCCTCACCCGAGGACATTTTTCCACTTTTTGTTCAGATAGAGTGTGAGGGAGAGAGAGAGAGAAACATCGACGTGAAAGTGACACATCGAGTGGCTGCCACCCGCACAACCCATTCAGGGCCGGGGACAAACTGCAACTGAGGTACGTGCCCTCAGTGGGGACCGAACCCAGGTCTCTCCGGACCACAAGCCAACGCTCTAACCGCTGAGCCAAACTGGCCAGGGCGTCCTCGGCATTCTTCAATTCCATCTCCACTTCCAAGGATTTCATTACTGAGAACCTGAAGGGAGGGGCATGGATTTTATTTTATTTATTTTCAATCCTCACCCAAGGATATTTTTCCATTTATCTTCAAATAGGGTGGGAGTGAAAGAGGTGGGGTGGGGGAGGGGTGGAGAGAAACATCCATGTGAGAGAAACACATTGACTGGTTGCCTCCTGCATGACCCCAACCAGGGCTGGGGACGAACCACAACTGAGGTATATGCTGTTGACTGGAATTGAACCCATGACTCTTTGGACTGAGGGCCAACACTAACCGCTGAGCCAAACCAGCCAGGGTGGGGGGCATGGATTTTAGATAAACTACCAGTGCCTGTTTCAACCCAATTTATAGCAATAAGATAAAGAGAAAAACTAACACATGTGGTAAATAATCCTAAACTGGCCCCATAATCTCTATCTCCTAGTGTTCAGGCCTTTGTGTAATACCTCCCCCTGAATGTGGGTGGGACCTGGGACTTGCTTCTAACCAACAGGATACAGCAAAGGTGATGGGATGTATGTGACTACATGTACGTAACTATGTTACATGAAACTGTAATATGTTTTGTGAGGAAGCGCTCTCCCTTCCTGGCTTTGATGAAACAAGTGACAATGTTGGGGAGGCCCACGTGGCAAGGAACTGAAGGCAGCGTCCAGCTGACAGCCAGCAAGAGCTGATGCTGCCAACAACCACACAAGCTCAGAAGTGAATCCTTCTCCAGGTGAGCCTGCAGCCCTAGGCAGCACCTCCACTGCAACCTGGTGAGAGTCTAAAACAAGGAACCCTGCTAAGCTGTACCCAACTCTTGACTCACACAAACTATGTAAAAATAAACGTGTGTAGTTTTAAGCCTCTACATTTGTGACAATATTGTTATGTAGCAATAGGTAACTAAATAGACAAAAAACAGAGAAATAGAAAAGTAGTCCCTGATATCTGAGAGCTAACCTCAGCAAGGCCTTAATGTTGCTGGAGCTGGCCTGTACTTGGTGTTAAACATATACAATTACAAAGAACATCAACATCAGACAAGGTCACGAAGACAGAGGCAAAACATGACCATTTTGTAACCATGTCTGAACATGGTCAAAAATCCCAAATGACCAAGCCCCCCCTTATATTGGCTAATATAAGTACACAGCTTTCATCTTGATTCAGTCCCTGTATTATATATTAGATTTAATTAGATGCCCATTCATTGAATTGCCCCTCCTTAAAGCATCCAATAGAGTAAATCCCTTGAACTTTTCTTGAACTTTTCCCCAAATCACCGAAAACAAGCCTAAATCCCATAATAAGTCTTTTCTAATGCCTCCTTATTGAGATGCTGTATGGTTCCCCTCGGTGTGTGGTCTCCCTTGCTATAACCAGCAATAAACTTGTTCAGCTACAGGGGTGTTCCTAGTGGTCTTTGGCCCTTCATTACAGATAGTATTTTATACTGTTATAACTTACTTGTAAGGCAGCACAGGAGTCCTAACCCGATCACCAACTCCTAGGAAACCTTTTAGCAAAAGCTATCTGCTTACAACACTATTATCTACAATGGCAACAGAAACAACTTAAAAGTCTAACAGTAGGGAAATGTTTGATGAATTGTGTTGTGTCAATGCATGAATTATCTAATATTCAAATAACTGTGAAGGCTAAAACAGAAAATGTTTAGGATTTGATGTGACAAATAATATAGACTATAAAAATGCAAATAAAGGTTACCATTAGCTGAATAGATATAATGTGCCAGGCACTATTTAGGCATTTTGGTCACACTTCATATAATCTTCACAACACCTGACAGGAAAGTTAATATTCCCATTTTGCAGGTGAAGATATCAGGGCAAGGAGAGATTAAATAAATTAGCCATTATCACATAGCTGGGAATAGAGGAGACAGATATGAACCAAAACACGACTATAAACACTGTATTTTTAACAACAATGTTCCATGTCTTTTAGACTTAAATGAGATTGCAACTACTACAACAATGGTATCAGGGAGAACCACTGGAAGATAGCATGCAAATGTAAAATAAGTGTGATATGGGATTAGCATCGAAGGCAATTTAATTTTAAAAATCATTATCATTAATGCTATATGATCTACTCAATGTAAACAACACAGATAATCAAGCAATGGACTCTTGACTTCAGATTCTCTCTGAGAAGTTAATTATATGTCTTTGGAAAGAGACCTGTCCACAACTATTTATATTTTCATTCATTTCTGGCCTTCTGAGCAAGACAGTGAATAAGCCAGTTTCAACTGTCTGGGGTGGGGGTGAGGGTCTTCTTGCTCCACTGCCCCCCTGTCCCCAAGTCAATGCTTCTTAACATGAGTTTTCTAATCTAATTTTACTAGAATCCTAAGTGTCCTCTATTTCAATTAACAACACAGGAGAGGTGACAGTGGTCAAAATGCCATCTGAGGTTTGTCCAGAAAAGGATTTAGGTTAACCTAAAAGTACACAAGTACATCTTCAAGTCATCTGAGTTTATTTGGTGGGAGATGAGCATCTACTATGTTTACAGAAGATTACAACTCCCAGATTACAGGTGACATCCCTTCCCAATGACATCATCTGTGTAACCACTTCAGAAGAATATCACACAGGGGTCAGAGCAGTTAATTTTTTGTCAAGGCTTCTGAGACAGGGAAAGCAAAGCAGGATGCTTCAATAGAACGTTTTAGGGGGACAGAATGAGTACGGCGAGGAAGAAAGAATGTGAAACAATGCCCTGTAAATCTGATTTTACTGATACTATATCTCAGCCAGACCAGAATCAGTTATGTGCAAAATGATTAATCACCGTCTCTGTGAGATATTCAAGGCCCTGCTGCCTATTCTCAGCATTAAGAAAATCTAACACTGAAATATGGCTTTCAGGCTTCTGTTCATTCTGTACCCTTTTAATAAAGTGGAACAAAAAATTTTGCCTTGGGCTTGGCTGAGTTATGGGGTTTATCTCCTAAGTGGCAAAGCTTCATTCCTCAGTCCAATCACCAAACTGAACCCAAGTCATAAGAAGCCTGGTAGAGAAGGAAAAATGCCTGTGCTTTACCTCAGGCATCGATTTATCAGACACAACAATTGCTCTGAGAGACAGGTATTCTCTTTATATTTATAGAAAAATAGGCACTGCAAAGAAAATTAATTTAGCAATGGGCAAATGCTGATGGCTTTGTGTGATGTGTATGTTTTTGACAAATGTGGCTAATGAATTACAACCTGCCTCCATCACTGCTGGGGGAGGGTGTAGAGAAAAGGAACAAATCCTTGGGGCGTTCCCCGGAGGCGGGAACTGCAGCTGAGCCCCCACATACCTTCTCTGCATACTCAGACACAATCTGCTTGATCTCAGCGGAGCAGAGTCCCACGATCTGGCCCACGGAGCTTGCGGTGAGACGGCTCTGCAATCACAGGGAGGGTGTGTTCTCAAGGCCATACCTTGTCTTTCACAGAAATGGAAAACCTAATGCTCTGTGCAGTGCAGCAAATTAGATAATATTCCCAGGGGAGAAAATAATTTGGCTTTTGTTTATGTATTCATCAAGGAAGGGAGAAAACAAGCCTCGGGACGAATGTGAAGCCACCTCTCTGCTTCCTGACACATTCTGCTAACTCTGGGTACCTCTGGAAAATCATTCTTCACCCTTTATACTCAATCCCAAGGTCTCTCTTCCCAAGGTCACTACACAGAGCCTGCAGGGAACTTGGTGGACTTAAGACCCAGGGAGAAAAGAAGTACAAATGGGAGAAAAAGAAGAAGAATCTCAGAACTCTAAAATATCTCTACCACAGGCCTTTCCTGCCCCTCCCTCCCCCAAATGATCCTTTCAAAGCCCTTGGTTAAACCTTCTGGAGAGGCCTTGAGTTCTGAGAAGACAAACTCTAAATCTTGTACTCTATTTTCTACCTACATGGTATAGGAATGAAACAGAAGACAATGGTTCCTTTGGCATGGGGTGTAACTCGTGGTTATGGAGAGGCAGGGCTGAACCATGGCTCTTCTGCTGAGGCCCATATGGTACTGTCCCCGCAGAGACATCCTGCCTTCACAAGGGTCCCTCAAGTCTTCCTCCTAGAGCCTCGCATGGCCAGCTACACTCTAAAAAGCTTTCCCAAAGAGAGATCCCTAGGAAACACTAAGTACTGCAAAGACAGGGTCTGAAGAAGGTGGTCCCACTGGGAAGAGGCCCCACAGAGCCAAGCAGGTTGGTTCCAAGTCCCCCATATCCACACCACACCCTCCCTCACGACCACTCACACCTCACCTCCTCATTTGCCATGGCAGTCATCTTGGTCATCAATGACTGAATACGCTGCTGAGAGGAATGGGGAGAAGTAGCAGTGAGCTGATCTGACCACATAAGACTTGATATCATTTTATGGTGGCTTCCTGAGAGGTGATAAAAGGAAACTGGAAAGGCTGTGAGAAGCACCTGGCCATTCTGGAAAGCTGAGCATAAAAGTGGACTTTCTCCCCAAATGATTTAAACAGAAATCTCAGGGGACCTACATGGGCCACACACCTCTTCAGCAGCTTGAAGCTCATCTTCCTCATGAGCATCAGCTTTTTCTGCAGCCGAGAGCCCTGTGGGAAGTGCCATTTTCTTGTCCTCAGCCTGGAAAGGAAGATGCAAAAACAGCTGAGCATCAGAGTTACAGACTCAGTAGAAAAAAGACAACATTGCAAAGAGGTATGAGTCTGTGAAAGAAAACACACAGATCTGGAGAGCTGAACCAGTCTCTAAGAAAGAACGGAAAATCCAGAGACCTGGGCTTCCATTCCAACTGCAGAGCAAACTGGTCGAGCTCCAGGCCCTAGCAACGCCTGCCTCCATCACTGTACTGCTTGCAGATTAAATCCCTATCAGGTCATACACATAGACTTGTCCTTACATTTTGATGGGGTCTTTCCCCTTCTTTAATGCCTTCAAGAGCAGATCACTGCCTAAAGGAGTTTTTTTTCCAAACTGCCAGCTGAGACCTATTAGTGGGGCATGAAAATAATTTAGGTATGTAAAGCATCTAAGCAGATTAAGTAAAAATTATAGGAAAGAACATGTCAGAGTGCTTTGCTAAAATACTGCTTTGTAAAACTTGACATTAACAAAGTTTAAAAACTATTGGCCTAAAGCTTAAATTCTAAACTGCTTCACCTGGTGATTGAGCTCCAGGTTCTGTACCCAGTCTCAGGCTCTAAATGTACCACACCACACTCAAGATACCTGGATTAACTACCGTTCCTCAAACAAGGGCTGGAAATCTTGAGTTCTTGGTTTTAATTCCATCTCTGCCATCCACCAGCTGGGTGAACTCAGGCTTACCTTCTCTGGATATCAGGGTCTTCTAGGGTTGAAAGGGAGGACTGGTCTCAAATACCCTTCTCAGATAACCCCAATTCTAGAATGCTTTTCTATAACAAGTCTACAACTGACCCTGGGTAACACTTCCAAATCAAATGTGCCACCTGACATAAGAATGACAAGACAAGCCCAAAGTGAATATTCTTTCATGGGCATTTCATGATTTTTCCAATCATAATCAAACCGTCTTATTTCAGAATATAGTCATTTGTATAAACATTCTTTTCAGACTTAAATTACATATCAAATTAAATGTATCCATCAAATTCTTATATAGCAGATGCAACATGACATACTTAAATCCAGAAAATACCTTGTTTTGGAGGAAAAGACTGTTTAGTTGAGTGAAAACACAGATATGGAAAAAATAAATAACAAGAAAACAAAAAAATATATAATCAGTGCACGACTGATTTATAATGAAATAATAACAATTTAGATGTTTACTATGTATTAGATCATTCTATGTTCTTTATATTTTACTCTTCACAACAATGCTGGAGGACAGTACAATTACTACCCCCAATTTATAGATGCTGTGAATTAAGGCACAATAATTAAGCATATTATCCAAAGTCACACAGAGAAGGGATGAAGCTAGGGTTTGAAACCAGCAGGTTCGGCTGTAGAACACACGCTCCTCGTCACTGTCAGGGCCCTCCAATGACTGAGACAACAATTACCACAGAAATCAGATGGAGGCTGGGGTCAGGGAGGGCCTCCGGAAAGGAAAACTGAAGGATGCGGAACCTGGACAGAGGGAAGGGTGGCAGGAGTGCTGTTTCATTCAAGAAAATCTGGGGATCGGGTGAGGAATGAGAAGAAAGGTTATTAATAGACTCAAGCAGCAGGACTCTATAAGGGGCCACTGACTGCTTTAGCTAGCACTTCACCATTTAAAAGGCAGTGGTTAAGAGCACAGGCTTTGATATCACACAGACACGGATTCGGATTCTTACTATGGAACGTAAGGAACTGTGTGATCTTGGACAAATCACTGAGCCTCTTGGGGCCTCAGCTTTCTGACTGAAAAACAAGAATACGTATTTTCCTCATAGAGCTGTGCAGAGATGTAAGCGAAAAAACACACGTGGAGCTCTGAACAAAGGGCCTGGAACACAGTGAGGTCTGTCACTGTGAGCTGACATTAAGGAACATTTAATAAATACATAAATGAAGACAAATCTTTGAGACCAATTTGTGAAGTTAGAAAAGCCCATCTGGATTCACCTGCTTCCCCTACACTGAGTATCTAACACAGGGCAGGCCAATAATTTATGGCTGTCTTCTATCTCACTGCCAGTGTCCTGTTCACACTTGTCTAGGGTCCCCCTCAACGAGGGTGCTCAGGTACCTGTAGTGGACTGCACCTTCACCCTCTCAGAGCTGTATAGCCCACAGGATTGACACTAGGGCCATGACTTTCAACCACCCTTCACTTCCAGCCCCAGAAGAGGACACTGCTTCAGCTCCCTGGCTTCGGGAGGCACAACCTTGCAGCCCTGGGTTGCCCAAGGACCGGAGCCTGGCTGGCAGCAGCCCTGACTTCTCACCATGCTGGGTAGCCTGTCAGTGTCCAACAGAGGCAAAAAGGAGGGTCACTTCCAACTCTCAAACATTCTCTCCCGTTATCTATGCTTTTCTTACCTTCTCTGTTTTGCTCTGGCGGCTAAATCCATATCTCCTGCAGGCCACAAAAAAGGGGAGTTCAATTACTATTCAAAAATCACATAAAGTCTGTCAAATGCATTTTAGTTGGATTTTTATATAAAAAGCAAATGTAGACTCTTTGGTGTCTCAAGAAAATATTTTAAGTGCCTAAACCACAAATTTATTCCACTGTTTTTGAATAAAGGGCCAGCCACCCTATTTGCCATATAAATGCATAAATGGGAAGTCTAAAATAGTGAAGAGTGCAACATTCTCTTAAGTGTAATCATTACTCTTTGAAGAAGAAACTGTATTTTACATTTACATTTTAAGCTAAAAGTCTTGAAAATATCTGTATAAACAAATGTGAATGTATTTGCTCAAGCTAAACATGCTCCCCAGTGGCGACTTTCACAATTTCCAGTCATTTTTTATTCGCAAGCATAACTGAAGTATTTTGCCAATCATGTTGCGTTCACGTCACTCAACTTGAAATGCAAAGAAATTCACAAAAGCACTTTAACTTAAATTAGTTTATTTTCTGGCTCCAATTAATATCTATTTTTTTAAAGCAAGTATAACAATGCAAAACCAACCTAAAACAAGAAGCATGATGAAAAATACCCAACCTCACTTACCTGTAAATAGTTTATGAGGAAATAAAAATGACATGCAACAATTTAAGAAAAACAAATTAAGGGCTCCTGCTCTGGCCTCACTCACGCCAGGCCACACTTAATGGATCAGTGTGCTGGCCTCTTACCTGGTCTTTGTCTCCAGCCTCACTCTACCACCACTCTTCCTCCCCATTGTTATCCAACTTCCCATTGGCCTGATCTGCACCAATCAACGGCAGGCCTCTTTCCTCAGGACAAAACAGGACCTCCTGGGAACTCTCATCAGGGCTTCCCTTCTATGGCCCTGCCTAAGAACCATTTCCTCTCATGTCCTGCAGCTCACCTTACCTGCTCCTGTGCATCCAATGCCTGAACAGAGAGCTTTGCACACACGGTGCTGTCTTCTTCTCTCCTTCAACTTTTCTACTCACTCCTCGCAGCTCATCTCAAAGCTGCCTCTTCTCCAAAGCATCCTCATGCACTCTGCCCTGGTTGATCCATCCCTGAGTTTGTACATGTTCTCCTACTTCCCAGATAGCAACAATATTCAACTACCTATTTGCATGTCTGTATCCTTCTCCTGGAGGGCATTGATGCTACTTTTACATTTGCTATTTCCAGTGTACACTGAATAAATAAACTAAACCAAGTGAAAGAAAACACAGAAATAAAGAAGCAAAAAGTATCAACTGACCATGCAATAGGTTGTCACGTAATTGGAGAAACCACAAAGTCACTGCTGGGCACAACATGTCCATTAGATATAGATCTATAGGCCTAAAGTGCAGCAGATCAAGGTTAAAGGTGGAGTATCTATCACATTCTGTAAAGGACCTTATGGCAGATTCTGTGAATTGGCTTAGTCAATATCTATTGCATCTTCCTAAAGTGGAGAGGCTGGAAAACAAAAAACTCTATGTTCCATACTCCCTTGCACCTACTGTTCTGAATGCTAGTTAGGCTCTACCAATCAGATGGATTTGCTGGAGTTCTGAATGTGCAACAGTTAAGTGAGAAGAGAGGAAAGTCATAAAAAATTCACTGTGTGGAGTGAATCACAGAACTAACTAACTAGTTTTTGGGGCCAGCAATTGTCACAGTGACTTCCTAATTTTGGCAGAAGTGTTGTGATCTTTTTGCCAACAGCTACAGCACCAGCTTCCTAATCCTCAGGCTGCTAGATGATTTCCTATTCGTGGAGTACATCAGCATCCTTGGAGGCCTAGTTTCAATGTGATGCTTGGGAAATGACCTGGCTCAGCCTAGATTCCATGTTTTATGCCTTCCTATGGATCCCAGTAATCAATCAATCCTTCTGCTGAAACTAGCAGAAGAGTTTTCTTGTTCTCAACCAGGGAGCCTTAATTAATTGAGGATTTCACCAAGTTTCTGCTCCTAGACATGTCTTTGCACCTTGAGTATGTTTCCAGGCTTTAATCTGTGTAGACTCTAAGGGCAGAAGATATACCCTCAGTCAGACAGCCCTTATCTAGGGCCCAGGAGCCCAATGGATTTTCCAAATAAACCAGTAAACTACTAAATCTGAGCAATTTAATTCCCAGATAGAATTGAACTTCTCTGCCCCTAAAGACACCTATTCTGTCCTTAAAGACGGAGGCCCTGGGAAGACTTTTCTAATCTTCCAAAGCTAGGTTAGGCCCCCACGCCGTGTGTTTCTGTACCACCAGTGCACTCATCCCACAGTGCAGAGTAATTATGTTATGTGGAATCTGCCTGTTGAGCTCCTGGAGGGGCAGGTATTTGCTTCATTCACTTTCATGTTACATTTTTTAAATTGAGGTATAATTCACATAACATAAAATTCACCATTGTAAAGTACATATACTTCAGTGGCTTTTTTTTTCTTTTTGTATATTCACTATTTTGTGCAACTATTACCACCATCTAATTCAAGAATAGTTTCATTGTCCCCAAAAGAAATCCATACCTATTAGCAGTTAGTACCATTTCCTCCTTTCCTCATATCTTGGCAACCAGTAATCTACTTTCTGTCTCTATGAATTTGACTATGCTGGACACTTCATATAAATGGAATCATACAACATGTGGCCTTTTATGCCTAGTTTCTTTCACGTAGCATGTTTTCAAGGTTTATCCATATTATGGCACAAATCAGTACTAATTCCTTTTTATGACTAAATAATATTCCATTATGGATAAACCACATTTTGTTTATCCATTCATCAGCTGATGGATATCTAGGTTGTTTTGTTTTGGCAACTGTGAATAGTAGGGCTGTTATGAACACTCATATACAGCTTCCTTCACTTTTGTAACCCCTGTGTCTACTACAGTGCCTGGCACATAGTAGGTACTCAATAAATGTTTGCTGAATGAAGAGTCTATTTTTCTAAAAGCTTCCTTCTCCGTGTGACATTATGGCAATGCTTCCATGACAAAGAAGAGCCAGTTGTCTTCAATAGCCTATTAAGTCTGCCTCATTGTGTGCACTTCTCTTCCAATGTTGTTTAAGCTTCAGCAGAACATGATATCCCCTTATGACTGACCCATCATCTCTTAAAAAGAGCAAGGGGATTTTCAATTTATTTCTACTACAATAGCCTTTACTTGTCTTTATCTTCCCTAGGTATGCTGCTCTCCTCTACAACCTCTCTTTCCTCTTGCCCAGTCAGGCCTGCCTCTCAAGAGACAGCCTGATTTGCAGTGCCATACAGTTCAATCTGTTCCCGCCTTCTCCTTGGTTAGCTCTGACTCACCAACTTAGCTGATGTCCTACACTGTCAGCACCAACAGAGCTCCGGCCCTCTTACCTAAACCTAGTCCTTGGTCTTTAACATCAAGGATGTATATCTTCTAGAACAGCATAGTCCAAAATAAATATGAGAGCCACATATATAACTTTAAATTAGTAGATTCATATACTCAAGTTATTCTGACAATAATAAAGCATAAATAACTAAGTAGTCAAGCATGAGTTTTAAAATTTGAATTTAACTTATTTAAAATTAAAATTCTGTTCACAGGCCACACTAGTCACATTTCAAGTGTTCAATAGCCACATGTAACTAGTTGCTACCTTTACTGGACAACACAGTTCTATAAAACAAACTAACCTTCAAGACAATTGCCCCAGGGCAAAGAAGACATATCCAGCTATCAGGAATCTGAACAAAACAGGGGCATAAGAAAGCCCTAAATACTAAGGACTATGAACTCTGTTCTTTGTTCATTCAACAAGCATTTGCTAACTACCTACTATGAGCACACACAGGTCTCAGGATCATATGGCACACAGGCTGGGGCATGGCATATTTCATTTACTAAGTATGAGAACGTCAAGGCAACTCAAAACTAAGCCTCAAATAGTGTGGAATATCCTAACTCCAACATTTTAAGGATTGCGCTTCAAAATTCCACTTGAGCCCAGCAGGTGTGGCTCAGTGGCTGAGTGTCAACCCATGCACCAAGAGGTCGCTGGTTCGATTCCTGGTCAGGGCACATGCCCAGGTTGTGGGCCAAATCCCGAGTGGGGCTACGCAGGAGGTGGCCAATCAATGTTCTCTCTCATAGATGTTTCTATCTCTCTCTCTCTCTCTCCCCCTCTTCCTCTCTCTGTAAAATCAATAAAGAAAAAAAAATTCCACTTGCAAGTCAAATATACTGCATATAAAATAAATTTCCCCACAGTAGCAGTTTTATATTGTTGTTAGGTGTTTAAGTTAGCTCCTAAAAGTTGTTTGGGGTCGTAATAAAATAAAAATATTATAGCGTTGCAATTTTGTTTAAGTCTGAAATCAAAACTATGAATCTTATTTTTCCAATGTTATAACATTTAAACAAATATAGCCAAACGTCTTTTTAATAGACACAATCCTTAAGGCCTTCAGCATGGTTGACCAGGCTCAAAGTCTAGCCTTATTTGAGCAATGAAAGTCAAAAAGCCAGAAGCGCCTGGCTGATGTGGCTCAGTGGTTGAGCGTTGACCCATGCATCAAGAAGTCACAGGTTCGATTCCCAGTTAGGGCACATGGCCAGGTTATGGGCCTGAGCCCCAGTGTGGGGTATGTAGGAGGCGGCCAATCAATGTTCTCTCTCATCAATGTTTCTTTTTCCCGCTAATATCAATAAAGACAAAAATAAAAATATAAACAAACAAAAAGGGGGAAGAAGCTGGAAGGCTGACCTTAAAACCAGGTGCACTGTGGGCCTAGGCTGATGAGTGACAGGACCACTCATGAAAGACTGGGGATTACAAGGTGGGAATGAGCAATTAAGGGTGAGAAACAGTGAGGGGAGAGGCAGGAAGAAGCAGTGAGTCCCAGAGCCAGCAAAGGGCCAGCCTGCTTGATTGAGGAAGGGAAGTAAGAGTGGATAATACTTCTTATAAAGGGGCCAGAAGGAGGCCTAGTCCTAGGAGTAATAAGTATTTAGGGGCAAACAGAAAGGGAGGCTTAAGGAAGAATCCTCATTTGAATTTACAGGTTATATTTAAGGGACTTTTAGAACTGAAAACTGTGGCTGCTACTCCTGGGACCTAATAATTAACATTTACTGTTTTCTACAGAGGATAAAGTGTTAAAAGTTCCTCATATAATTATGTAACCTTCATTTAATAGTAAAGATCCCCACGCAGTAAAAAGTACTGAATAGAACCGCGAGGAAAGAGTCTAGTAGTCAGAAAGGAGGGAAGGATCCTTCTCCAGAATAGAGAATAAAACACACACTTTAAGTTTTATCCAGTTTTCCCTGTCAGTTTAATAATCACTCTCTTCTTGTTTAGTCTCAGATCAAACAACAAAGTCTGGGCCTGTCCTTCTAAAATCAAAAGCCAAACTCTCACTGGAGGCTCAAACAATATTTATAGATAATGATAATGACATCCTTCTGGACGCCAAGAAACCTGACTTCAAGTTTTAGTTTGAAGCTCTTACTAGTTTTTAATAGTTAACAGCTGATCTCAGGAACATTATTTTTTAACCTTTCTGAATGCTGTCTTTATCATTCTCAAAAAGAAAAATGAAGTAAATAAACTATAAGAATGTAATAAGTATTCACTTTCCCACCTCTAAAAAACTCACCATTCCTTACCAGAAAAGCAAAAAAGAAAGCAAAATAATCCCTCTCCTAAAACACAAACAACAGATCCTTCATCCTACCTACCTAGGCTTAGAAGTCAGCATGACTCCACCAAGAGGAACTAGATCGGTACTGAGATACTTTGCTCTTTCCTACACTCCAAATTTGCAAGGGGTCACAAATGCAACCTATGCCGTGCTCCCTTCCCTAACAAAAGCCAAGCCAGACTCTGGTCTCACACTCCTGAGGTAAATTTACCCAGCCATCACATGGTGATAACAACTTTCATCTATGACACATGAAAAAGATACAATGTGAAACTGAGAATTTCAAAACAAAACAAAATATTAAACTATGTCAACATGGTCTCCATGAGACAATTTACTGAATCTCCTTTTCAGCCCCTGGAATGTTGAAGTTTCCATGATAACAGAAACACTGGAGGTATGAACAATACTAACAAAAGGTACAACATTCCCCTAAGTCACTGGTTCTCAACCTGTGGGTCGCGACCTTCACTGGGGTTGCCTAAGACATAACAGTAGCAAAATCACAGTTATGAGGTAGCAACAAAAATAATTTTATGGGTGGGGGTCACCACAACATGAGGAACTGTATTAAAGGGTCGCATTAGGAAGGTTGAGAACCACTGCGGTCTAAGTACTCTTTGGCTCTGGAACATGTTGACACAAGCAGGCTGCCTCTCCAGCTCTGGCTCTCCCTGAGCCGTACAGCCTCACCTGCCTACCTACAGCTGGGCCTTGACTGGAAAGACCCAATCACAGAGCCCAGGGCATGCAACCTGTCCAGTCGCAAAGGTCTCCATACTCAAAAGTGTACCACAGTTGGTTGTTTTGCTGTCCTGAAATTCTTAATAACTAATCATTATTAATAATTCTTAACAAGAGGCCCTGGATTTTCATTTTATACTGGGCCATGTAAATTATGCAGTTGGTTTGATGATGCCTGACTCAGAAAAGTTCAATTCACAGCAGCAACTGGTGAGCTGTGCTGGCAGCCATCACACCTGGCTTAGGGCCAGACCTAACACTTCCTCTGATGAAACAGACTAGCTTCATTCTTAGGAAGGAAGGATCTGACCCCACACAATCCCCTCAAAACACAAAACAAAAAACGTTAGTGATAGCAATTCCATTTGAAAGATGAAACTTAAGCCAATTAAGCCTAGTATCCTGGTTCTCTCCAGTACCCTAGAGGGGGAAGCCATCAGATGCTTTCACTCAGGAAGATGCTAGTGGTAGTGCCGTTAGTTCCAGCCACCCAGTGAGGGTTGGGTTATGCAGCAGAGCAGCACACAGCAACCACTCCCAGCACAAAGGAAAGAAGCCCAAGGAGACATACTCACATCAAGGAATCAGTTACCCTAAGTAGAAAATGCAGAACATAAATGAAAGTTAATACCCAGTGTCAACCAAAAAAATTTAGTGGGGGAAGTACTTCCTTATGTGTATGTGTTCTAAGTAAAAACTGGAGATAGAAAATAAAAACTGCTTTTTAATAACTAGAGATGTTTTTTAAAAGTGACAAAACTATTTCTAAACTCTTTATTTTCCTAGTCAGGATAATTCTTCACAGAAAATCAAAACTATTATCCTAACACTTATAATAAAACTGTTGAAAACTCTGGTTTACCTGAAGATTTTATAAAATGGCAGAGACATGAAGGGCAGACCACCCCCAGCCTCCACAAGCACCCCAAACTCCCAACCCCCAACGAGAGGAGAGCCAGGGCACACAGTTACACACATTCCTACAGAGGAGTTTCAAAGATCAGGCCTCTACCACCATCAGGGAAGTGAGCCCCAGAAACTTGGGTAATTCAATACGAGAGAGAAAAGTTCCAGATGTTGGAAATCTCGGGCCCAAAATCATAAACACAGTCAGGTAAAAGCCAACCAAGTTAATCCCAATGAAGAAATTCAAAATAACTTTTCTTTTCAATGGTTTTATAAAATAGGCACTTTAGACTGGGTTCTACTCATACCTGCCGTATTCCAAAAGTGTGGAATGGATTCGAGATTCTTCATCCAGCAGTTCCTCTGCTCCCTGTTGGCGTTTGTATTTTCGACGAGGCTTGTAAACATCCTAAGAAGTGGATGAGCAGAGGAGTTAACTGAGTGTGAGAAGTCTCTCCTCCCAAACTGGTTGTTGAATGCAAACAGCCTGTCAGAGAAAGAGTCCGTTCTCCATCATAACAGCAGGCACTCGGGTGGCTGCCTTCAAGGACTCTGCTCCTTCGACTTTTACATAGGTAGTAAATACTTCCACCCAATCTATTGTCTGTCAACTTTGTTGTAACTTGGTGTTTTTTTGTCCTATGACATTTTTATACTTTATGTAATCAAACTTTCAATCACTTTATAGCTTATTTTCTATTCAGGATCTGTGAAAAAAAAGTTCTTGTCTGTTACTTGTACTGTTTATATTTAGCCTTTTCATCTATTCAGATTTTGAGGGTGGGGGATAGTGAAAGGTAGTGATGTAGCTATTTTTTTATGATGAAAAACTAAGAATCCCAACATCATCAATTTAAGTCTATCCTTCCCCTGATTTGTAACATACACACACACACACACACACACCCTCCTAAACAAGTATATGGCATGTAGTAGGTGCTCACTTATTGTGGGTCTTCAGTTCCACATGACCTGGTTTTTCATAATACCCCAAATGAATGTCCTCCTTGACTGCCAAGCTGGCAGTCAAATAATACCTCAGTAATATTTGCTTAGGACCCTGGGTCCAAGTAGGCAGTGGTTTATACAAGCAGGTGTTCTAGTTGTGTGTCCCTGGATCTTTTCTTCTCCATGCCAGAGTTCACCATATCTAATCTCTACCTGGACATCATCAGGACAAGCAGTACTATCAAGTTCCTCCAGATAGTGGAATTTTTATTCTAATTAAAATTGTTCCCCCGTTGATAATTCTGGTTAAGTTTATTATTTTACTTTATTATGAATTATTTCAAATGCAGAGAAAAATTATTCCTGTAACATAAACTATATAATTTCAAGAGTTTTGTGGAAAAGGGATGGAACAGGGTCTGAGATGGTGCAAGAGGGTTGTTCTTATAGTGTGCTATCACAAATATCCCCTAGTTTGTTGCTGCTGTCTATATGAATAGGAAGCTATAAATAACATGAAACAGATTTATGGGGAAATGAAAAATATAATGAACCCATATGATGCCAGTTACTGTGTATGCTTTAATTTTCACTGAGCTCTACTATTATAGCAGTACTATATAATTGAGCTTAACTTCTATTTTTCTTAGTTACCTTTGATAGAGTCAATGACCCAAGGCAGGGAATTGCATTCTTCTCGAAAAAGACTGACTCCAAAACAATAGCATACTGAACCAACAGTTACTAGGATCTTTTATTCTGCCAAACAAGATGATGTTGGCTTTTGTGTAATTATCCCTTATACTTTAAAGCAACTCATAAACACCTCACATTTTGCAATTTATAATTACCCTGAGATACAGGCAAGGCAGATGCTACTACCTTAACTTTACTTGTGAAGCAGCAGAGAGTAAATAATTTTTTTAGGATTGCTAGGAGAATTTTAGGCCTGGACCTAGGTACTCTGGCTGCTGGTCCCAAGGTTTTACCATTACACTAACTTCTTAGTTCTGATGGGCATTCTAGTTACCCACCAGCCATTTCAGCTGAGCCCTCTCATGAGACTCACTATATAATCTGAGGCTGTCACATGAATCATTATAATGACTTGGACCTAATAAGGACCTAATAGTAGTAGTAGTAGTAATACGGACCTAAAATCAGAGGTTTCCAGGCCAACCAAAAACAACTATTGCTGAGTTACCCTTTAAAGCAGTGGTTCTCAGCCTTCCTAATGCTGCGACCCTTTAATACATTCCTCATGTTGTCTGTGAGCATCTCTGCATGTGGGCGGACCCGCCTGGAGACGGACAGGGGCAGTGCCTCGGTTCCTAAGACCATTGGAAATGTGTGTTTTCTGATGGTCTTAGGCGAACCCTGTGAAAGGGTAACTCGACCAACAAAGGGGTTGCGACCCACAGGTTGAGAACCTGGAGTCAGGGACACTGATGTCTAGTCCTGTCTTTGCTACTAACTAGCTGCATGACCTTGGGAAAGGCAGTTCCCTCAGTGGGCCTGTTTTCTTATCTGTAAAATGAGGGCTAGATTAATAGGCCTTGAAGGAGATTCCCAGTCTCCATTCTTCATGTTCTTTTAATCCTGTAAATATACTGCCTTGGTAACATAATTCCATCAATAATTTAAAAGTGTAAGTCTAATAAAAAAATAAACACCTCATGCTTCACACATGATTGTGCTCTTACAAAGATATGCAAAATCAACTCATTTTTTTTTACCATTAATAGGAGTTAGCAGTAGTAATGGCCATCATTTACTTAGTGCTAGGTATGTGCCAGGCATCTGATATCTGTGCATGCTACTGCCATCTCATGGTCTTTTTCCTTAATGAGCCCCTGATCTGTGGAATCCGTGACAGCTGGGATGTCTCTCTTTCACCTGTTTCAGGAGCGTGATCTGGCTTGCAGTGAGTTCTCAGTTAGTCTTATTTACTAAGTGAAGATATGGAGTCAGACAGGGTTTTAGTCCTCGCCCCATAACTTACTACCTGTCTGATTTGGGGCAAGTTACTTTAACCTCTGTGGCTTTCCATCTGTAAAACAGGTATAAGCAGAGTGGCTGTGAGGATCAATTAATTAACAGCACCTGACACACAGTAAGGGCTAAGATACATATTTTTTACATACAAATGTAGATGTACTAATATTATTTACTTTTGTTGCCACATTTACATTTTGTGTGCTATATGAAAAGGCCTTCTCCCTATGGAAGAACACACTAGAGGAGTAATTTTAATTAAAAAAAATTGTTTTTCTTTGTTGATTTTAGAGAGGAAAGGAGAGGGAGAAAGAAAGAGGAACATTGATGAGCGAGATCTTTATTTTTAGAGAGAGAGGAAAGGAGAAGGAGAAAGAGATAGAAACACCAATGAGAGAAAACACTGATTGACCACCTCCTGCATGCTCCCCACTGGGGGTTTGGCCCACAACCTGGGCATGTGTCCTGACCAGGAATCGAACCAGCGATCTCTTGGTGCATGGGTCGATGCTCAACCACTGAGCCTCACTGGGCGGAAGAGTAATTTTATTTATTTTTTTAATCCTCACCTGAGGACATTTTTTTCGTTTTTTTTGTTGTTGTTGTTCAGTTAGAGTGATAGGGAGAGAGAGGCAGAGACAGAAACATTGACATGAAAGGGACACATCGAGTGGTTGCCACCCGCACGTCCTAACTAGGGCCGAGGACAAACTGCAACCGAGGTATGTGCCCTTAGCGGGAACAGAACTCGGGTCTCTCTAGACCGCAGGCTGACGCTCTAACCGCTGAGCCAAACCGGCCAGGGCTGGAGGAGTAATTTTAAATGACATGGTCTCTTAGGTGATCCAGTAAGTTCAGTAAAGCATTTCCTTTCAACTAGACTGGAAGCTCTAAGAAGTCTTTTTTTTCCTTCTCCTTTTTACTTCTATTCTCATATAAAATTCTAAGCATTACCAAAAATGCTCAGTAAATAGTAACTGAATACCTTTCGAGGCTTTGAGTAAGAATTCACAGGCACTCTTCACTCAGGGTTATGAGGGAGTCACAGACCTTGATGCACAGGGCAGATCTGCAGGACATGGAAGGCTGCCAGCTCAAAAAAGGAGGAAGTAAGCTGAACAACAGCACACTAAGTGAGACCAAGGAGCGATCAGATGTGAAAGTGGAAGGTGGTGAGGAGAGGCCTGCCCTGGGTAGCAAGTTTCATTTTCTTATGTCCTTTGAAAATACCACCTCCCATCAAGCAGGCCTTCTGCGAAGCAATTTGCTACTGTGTGAAAAGGAGACATGGATGACTCAAGAAAGTAATACATTTCAAAGAAGAAAGAAGTAGTACTGGGAATAATCCCCAGGAGGAAGAAAAATGAGGCCAAAAGAGAAAGAACAGCTGAAGGTGATGACTCAAGTTACAGTTCACAGCAGCTTTCTGCCTGGCAATCTGGCAAGAGGTACTAATAGCCTTAGGGTTCCACTTCAGGGCATGTATCTTAAGTAAATAATTTTTAAAAATTGAACTATGAGAATGTTCTACATAATGCCCTCCTCCAAAACAAGAAAGAAAACTATACTAGTTAAATTAGTACCACACAATGAATCATCCACAGACACTAAAAATGCTAGGGAGGTATATTTGTTGGCACGGAAAAACAGCCTAGCTTACATTGTTGAGCAAAACAAGCCTGCACCAAAACAGAATATACAGTATAATACCGTTTTCCTTTCTTTGCATTTTCTAATTCTCTATATTGATATCCATCACTCTGTATTTCCTACTTAGAATATCAGTGATTATCCATGGCTGGTGGTGTTATGGGCAATTTAATCTTTGTACTTTTTCTCTGTTTCCTAATTTTTCAGTATTATTATCAGTACTAGCATAAAAGAAAAAAATAAGCTTTTTTTTTTTAAAAAAAAAATCATACACCAAAAAAAATGGATGGGCTACATAACCAAGGACAAATGTAACAGACTGAAACATTCCTAGAAGGTTGGTTAAAAACAAGAATAAGTTACATGTTCTGAAAAATATTAAAATGTTTATAATTTATTTTTTCAAAAGAGGTTATTTCTAAGCAAGAATAAGTAAAAGCCTGCTGGTTGAAGCACAATGGTATCATGTTAATTAATGAAAGAAGAAAATATGACAACCTCCACTTGGCAAACATTTCTCCAGCAGAACAAACAAAAGGGTCTTCAAATGGAAAACAGCCACAGTTAATGCCCCCATAAGTGACTGCTGAGTGGTAGGGGAGCTCCCAATCATCTGGATGTGTCTGAGTCTTTGGGACCCAGTGAATAACAGCCCCAGAGTCCTCAAGTCAAGAACAGTACTGCAAAACTGGTGTCAGGATATGTGGGCAATCAGAGAGCAGGCAAGAGGGAGAAAACTGGAGAAGCATCAACACCTGTTGTGTTGCAAGAGTCAGGTGTAAAATCAAAATCTGACCAGTTCTTTCTAGCTTTGCAAATATGTAGGGAATTATTAGTCTTTCTGAGCTTCAACTTCCTAATTATGAAATGCAAATAATAATATATAACTCCATGAATGTTAGTGAGAAATAAGATAATGCTTATAAAATGCCTAATTAGGTGCCCAGCATATAAGAAGCAATCAATACATGGCTACTGCATACATTTTATATAAAAGGTTGGATCTAGAAACTAGGGACCTATATGTTAGACCTTATTTTATTTATTTATTTATTTATTTACTTATTTATCTATCTATTTATCTATCCATCTTTTTTTTTTTTTCCTTTACTGATTTTAGAGAGAGGAAGTGAGAGGGAGAGAGAGATAGAAACATCGATGACAGAGAACATTGACTGACCGCCTCCTGCATGCCCCCCACTGGGGATCAGACCCACAACCTGGGCATGTGCCCTGACAGAGAATTGAACTGGCGACCTCTTGGTGCATGGGTCAATGCTCAACTGCTGAGCCACAACAGCCGGACTAGACCTTATTTTAATCCTTAATTTACCATTCATAATTTAAATTTTGAATTTCAGGCTCGTCAATAAGAAGTAGGTAAGCAATGGCACCTGAAAGGATACTGAAAAAAGACTGAAGGAGGAAAAAAAATCCCCTTTAGAATCTGAGACTTTCAAAAAGCCACAACCCCCGGTCACCTAGGAAAGATTTCATTCCCTTTACTAAAGGAAGGATTCTTCTCAAGAAGAGTAACAACCAACAAAAAGCAGCAACCTGTCCTGGCTCAGTGGCTAGAGCACTGGCCTGGGCACCAAAGGGTCATGGGTTCAATTCCCAGTCAAGAGCACATAATTGATCCCTGGCCCTGGTGGGGGTGGATGTGAAAGGCAACCAATTGATGTGTCTCTCTCACATCAATGTTTCTCTCTCTTCCACTCTGGAAAAAAAAAAAAAAATCAATGAAAAAATATCCTTGGGTGAGGGCTAACAACAATAAAAAGCAGCAAGCTGTTTCATTTCTTATACTGACTCACACAATGAACCAGAGCCATGCAGTATAGCCCTGGAGTCTGCTGTGAGCTTCTGGAACTCATTTCAAGGCTGCAATGAAGCCCTTGCAGAGGTGGGGGTGGGAGGGATGAAAGTTAATGACAATGGGGCTCAGCTAAGCAACCTAAGAATCTGAAAGTGAGGGATATTTTCAGTAGATAGGGAGAGAAGAAAATGAAACCCGAGGTCTGGCTCTAACCATCTACAGAAATCCTTTACCATTCCTGCTCAAAATGTATTGATAGTCAACTGATGAATAAATTCACACATAAAAAAGGAAATAAACTAAGCAATACAAACTACTATCAAGAAGACTTGCAAATTTTTTTCCATTTCCTTTACCTTGATATTATTTTCTATAGAGCTATAAACATTTTTATCTAGAGAATCACAGCATAGTGGTTTGTATTTTGGCTCCATCATCACCAATGTGACCTTGGGCAACTTATACAACCTATCTACGCCTCAGTTTCCTCATCTGTTAAAAAGATACTACTACTTCATAGGGTTGTTATGAGTTATATATAAATGCCTAGAACCTTATCTGGCACTATGTATTTGTTATTATCATTATCTCCTTAAATTCTGTGCAATCACATTATCAAGAAGAGGATTAATTAAAAAAAAAAACTGTTACAAATGAAAAGAACAAATAATGTCTCTAGAAGCCTGAAATATTTCACAGGTATAGAGATGCCAGGCACTGTTTCACTGATAGGATTATCAACAGCTACAATGGCCTTTTATTCTGGGTAATGTAGCTAAAAACTATAATGTTTTCTCACTTTCTAATCAGGGCTCATAGTGAAATTTACATGTGAAGATATTCAACAAAGCATTACAAAATTTTACTTGTTATTTATTGTGTTTGAATAGGTAACACACAAAATTAATATAAAATTCAAAGAGAATTTCCCTTCTCCTGACTTGGGTTTCCCAGCTCCCTGTATCAGAGGTCACGCTTGGTTCTCTCATCTTTCCGCAAATGAAGTATCATTTATTTATTTTTAATTTTTTTAAAAATTGATTTTTAGAGACAGAGAGAGGGAGAGAGAAAGAGAAACATTGATGTGAGAGTGGAACACTGATAGGCTGCCTCCTGCATGCCCCCTACTGGGGATCATGCAGCCTACTGGGGATGAAGTCTATAATTCAGGCATGTGTCCTGACCAGAAATCGAACCAGCAACCTTTTGCTGCATGGGAGGACACTCAATCAACTGAGCCACTTTGACTAGAACATGAGGCATCGTTTAAAATAAGAGAAAGCAAGAGCACATCCAACCAATTGTTTATTATTTGTCATGACAAATGTGATTAAGAAGAATCTTTAACAGCTTAAAGACTGCATTGATACATAAAAAATAAACCCTACAAAATTATATTTTAAAGTATAATTCCAATTCAGTATAAAAATACACATTAAAAACATGAAAGAAATACATCTGACCAACAAAAGTGGCTAATTCTGTGTTGTGAGATTAAGGCTGATTTTCTTCCCCTGCACCTACCAAACTTAAAAGAAAAAACTTTGAAGAAGTTCTAAAGTGAGCATCTATTTCATAAGCAGGAAAAAGATTACTCTGCTGTCATATGTGCTCCTTTTCTTCTTATTTAACAATGCCACCAATTCGGAAAACAGTATCCAGTTGCAGAGTACAACTATCTTCAAGGTTTTTCACTCCTCCCATTGCCAAAATGTAATTAAGAAAAGATACAAATCACAACTATAAAATGAAAAGTACTTTGTTTTATGTCTTTCATCATCAAATGACTGTTATTCTTTTTTTTTTATTAATTAATTTTTGTTACAGATGTTTCTCCCCTCCCCACTGATTCCCCCCTCCCCCTCCCTCCCTGCCCTTTCCCCAGTTTGTTGTCCATGTCCACTGTTTATGCATACATGCACATAAGTTCTGTGGTTTATGACTGTTATTCTTTTCAGAGTAACCACCTTGCGAGACCACACACTTATTCTTAAAGTAAAAAAGCATGTAAAATAACACTATACATTCTTTTCAGAAGAGAATTTACACCTAGACATTGAGGCTTTATTCCCATCAGCTCGGGTAGGAAGGCTGGGGGTCAAGTGGGGTTGGGCTGACAAGGTTCTGCTGGGCTCTGACCCAGTGTTTTGAAAATGCCCATGCTGGAGAAGTGGGCACATGGATGCAGCCCCCCCATGGTTAAGAAACACTGTGTATGGTGACAAAGGACATTCCAGAGTTTCCTATGCAAAGCTCAAAGCTACTTTGCCTCTCCTTAGCCACCATGGGGGGGGGGGGTGTGACCTCAATTTACCATCTCCAGTTCATCATCTACTTTTTTGGAGCTATTCATAGTTTATACCTGCCACTGGCACAAACAAGGAAAGGGCCTTGGGTTTGGAAAATTTCTCCCTTAAAACTAGAACTAAGAAAAACACAGGACAGTGGTTATGGCAAGTTCTACCCGTGAGTAGTGGTCTCCAAATATGGAGCACGTAAGACAGGCAGGGCTTCCCTCACACCCACCGAAGGTCAGCTTCTGGGCAATTCCAGCAGACAGAAACCTCAGGGAGCAGGGTTTTATGATTTAAATCAAAGCACAATTTGGAGGCTGTGAGTTTGTGTTCTTTTACAGAAGAATAAGGGCAGGGGAACTTACCGAGAGGTCAACAACTGTCTTGATGGCCTTTTCTTTTCTCTTAATGAAATCATCATCCTGTGCAACAAAACAGAAATTAAACAAATCTCGTGTGAAGACTGAAACTCAACTGGACTGCTCAGAAATCTGTCTTATAAAATGACTTCACGTAATAACTTTGCCTGAAGAAGTTTCAGTTTTCTAACAAATTGAAATACTATATATTCTGTATGGGGAAAAAAAGCTAGGACCTCTGCAAATGGCTATAAATTAGATACCTATACCCAGTAAGAAAAAGGGGAACCATAGGTACAGACAAGTGTTCTAGTTTAAAATTCTTATGAGCTCTGAAATCTCAGGCAAGTTACCTAATCTCTAAGCCTCAGTTTCTCCATCCATGAAATGGGGCACCACCTATCTCAGGGAGCAGTTGAGAGGATTAATGAGTAGAAGGTATGTGATATGTTGGGACTGGAATACAATAAGAATACAATAGCCATCAGCTATTTTTACTGTTGTTGGGATTATTAAACTGTTACTATAGGAATGTCCTAGGCAGGTGGTCTCTCAAAAAACTTTATATGACTATACAAAACATACTCTTGTTCTTGTGAATTTAAGAAAAGTTCTGGATCAAGTACCAAAATTTAAATAAAAGGACAAAATTGTAGGGTTTACACTCAGTGCCCACAGAAAGAGGTAGCTCTAATGAACCAGGAGACCCTGTTTCTTTTTTTTTTTTAATCCTTACCCCAGGAATTTTTGCATTTACCTTCAGATAGAGTGGGAGGAAGAGTGGGAGGAAGAAAGAGAGAGAAACATCGGTGTGAGAGAGACACATCGAGTGGTTGCCACCCACACGACCCCAATTGGGGCTGGGGACAAACTGCAACGGAGGTATATGCCCTTAGCAGGAACTGAACCTGGGACCCTCAGGTCTGTGGGTCAACGCTCTAACTGCTGAGCCAAACCGGCCAGGGCCAGAAGACCCTGTTTCAATGCTGACCCAGTAGAGGCAGAGATGCTCATGGGAGGTGGGTGTGCAGGGGAGCTGGACTTTACTGAGCTCCTTCCCACAGTCTCTAAGTGTATACTCACGGTCTCAGTGGTCAAGAAGAGAAAAGTAAAAACTGACCTCAGGGAGACTGTAGGTTTTCTGGAACTGGGATATAGAGTAGGAGCGGATGTAGTCACCCATCTCTTCTTTTGTTTCTATAGCTCGCTTCACCAGCCACTGGGGAAGAAAGTTAGAAATGTGAGTAGGGATGAAACACCACCAAGGTGAAGGTCAACTCAGATGGCATAACTCGTGAACCCAAATCACCATATTTAAATGGATCTGGTGATGAAAAACTATCAGCATATATGACGTACAGGCAAAGCCACTGGCTGGGCATCTGGGATGTTAAGATCCTGTAGGACCTAGAGCTGAGTAGCTGTGCAGAGCTTTAAAGCCTCACCTCAAATCCTCAGGACTCAGTTTCCCTCTCTGCATAAAGCAGAGGTGAGAATATCAGTTCCTTTCACCTTGAAGAGCACATGAAATCACAAGTACTAGAGTGCTTTGTAAATACCTTTACAAGCACAACACAAACAGAGCTATTCCACACAGCCACCTGGTTCTAGGCAGATCTTAATGTAACGTTCTCCTGTGTGGCTTGCACCGCAGACCAGAGAATAGGGAAGAACCACAGAAAACACTTAGTGTAACCCCTCATTTGACAGATAAAAAAAATCCCCAAAATATTCAGATTGGAGAATAGGATGTACTGAGTACATAGCCTGAGCTTTTGGGTTAGTTTGCTATTCACAACATTTTCTCTCTTAATCCACAGATTATAAAGCAGTTGGTCCTGGCTGTGTTTTGCAGAACCTGAAGCTCAGAGAAGCTATGTAATTTGCCCACTGATCCAAAGCTCACAAGCCACACAGCTGTTGAGTCACAACCAGGAGGGTCTTCCACACTAGACAACTGGACATGGGTTTTATTATAAATGTTTCCCAGTTTTACTGGGCTGATATGCAGAAGTAGCTGCTCTTCATTTTTCCCTAGTTAAAAGTCCACTTAATTAAAACACACACATGCACATCCCCACACTCCATAATCTATGAAAGATCCAGGTGCTCTCAGGGTAAGAATGCAATGAGAAAGAAAGAGGCTTTGCTTTTCCACACTGGCTCTTCATTCATTCCCTTTATTACTAAAGAACATTATGGAAGGGAATCCCATCTGTCGGGGTTGTCATACTCTCTCAAGAGAGAGTTATTACATCTCAGAAGCAGTTTTCGGACAGTGGTTTTGTTTCCCCAAGATACAGCCACACCTGGCAAAATTTATCTACTTAAGAAAGTAGACACATGGCACATACATGGTGTTCCCACAGGGCTGGAAAGAATGCTTGCTCATGGAGGGAGCCAGCTCAAGTAAAGGTCACATTTAGGAAGTAAATGTTTAGGAAGTTGCCCAGGATAGGGATAGTTGCAAGTAATTATATGAGAAATATTCTTTTGTTGCTAATACCTTTCATTTACTTCCATCACTCCAAATAATGACCTCAGGTACTGACTAAAATCCAGAAGCAGAGCAGAAGGTAAGACAGCATTCAGAATTACTTTAGCCCCCCCCCCCCCCCCCCCAATGCAACACCATGGCCCAGGGCAACTAAGGAGGCTGGCTCTTGCTCAAGTCAATTTTGCTCCGCTTTCCTTCAAATGGGGAGATCCAGTTTCCGGCCTTTCATGCTTGTTTCCTGTTCAGATCTGCCTCCATTAATCAGATCTACACTGTTATTATTTGGCTGGATCCTGGAGAGTGTTACCAGATAAGGAAAGTAAAGTCTGTTGAGTCATAGGATTCCCTTAGAGACTTGATCGCTCTGTTTTGAAGTTCCCAGCATGAAGGGCCATGGAGGGAACTTCTCAGATGACCAAATTCTGCCATAGGTCCCAACCATTTGAAAAAAATAACTATCCTCACAGGATTCACGTCTGGCATGGGAGAAAAGATGTGACCTAGAACTAACAGTGAAGTTAGACTGTTTTTCTTTTGACTGGCATTCGGGAGTGTTACTATAGCTTAGCTAACCAATGTGGATGTGGGTGATGAGCCTCTAGAACAACGGTTCTCAACCTGTGGGTCGCGACCCTTTTGGGGGTAGGGGTCACCTAAGACATAACAGTAGCAAAATTACAGTTATGAAGTAGCAACAAAAATAATTTTATGGTTAGGGGTCACACAACATGAGGAACTGTATCAAAGGGTCACGGCATTAGGAAGGTTGAGAACCACTGCTATAGACTCACACAATGAGTTCAATGGTTTCCAATTGACAGTCCATGACTGTTTTTTCATTGGTCTCCAGCAAAACAGGAAAAAACTACAGGCATGTGGTGAGTTTTTCATAATGCTAAAAGTGTTAAATGTAAAGATCTGTCATTATTCTGAGATTGGGGTTAAATGGCATTTATTTTAAGAAATGATGGTGAAAGTAAGATAGTTTTTTAAAACACGTTTTTATTGATTTTTTTAGAGACAGAGGAAGGGAGAGGGAGAGAAACATCAATGTGAGAGAGATACCTCAAAGTTCTAGCAGAGGGTTGAGTAAAGTCTAATCACTAGAGATCCAGGCTTTCCAGGAAAAGGCAACAACTTCACAGTGTGATAGTATTGGAGGTTTCAGTAACAATCTACACAAGGTTCCTACTTCCTGTTTTCACAAAAAGAATTAGGTAGCATTTCCTTGAATCAGAGAGACCAGAAAGTCTACCAAAAATACAAATCAAATTTTGAGTAGAAGTCTTAGGCTCAGATTTACAAATTTCATGGTATTTGATGTGAAGTCTAATGTAGGGCAGATTCCCAATAACAGTAATAACAACAGAAACAACTATATAACACTTATAAATCACTTACTAAATGTACCAGTCCTTCAGCTAAGTGCTTTACACACAGTAACGTAATTCTCATCTTATCAGGTAAGCACTATTATTATTTCTATTTAACAGATGAGAAGTTAAGTCCTTTGCCTAAGGTCACACATCAGCGCCAAGAATTGAACTCAGGAAGTCTCCAGAGTCTATGCACTTACACAATATCATCCTGACACAGACTTAAAAGACGTTTCCAGCCAGGGCCGCACAGCTTTCTCCTCGGCAGCTGCATGAATGGTGGAGTGGGAAAGTACAAGGCTTGGAGACTAAACATTTAGACTGGAACCTTTGCTTTTCTACTCTGCCTGTAAGCAAATCAATTACTCTCTCTGAGTCTCACTTTCCTCAGATGTTAGACTGGGATTATAATAGATGCTTCGAAGACTCTATTAGGATCAGAAGTAAAGCACTGTTCACAACACAGGCAACAAAGGTGAGTCCCTCTGCTCCTCCTCTTTTCAAGGTGCCTGGAGGGGAGGCACACAGGAACTGTAGAGAGAGAATACAGGGAGCTGTACAGTATGAGCCACTTAATCACAGAGGCTTGGGGAAAGGTGAGGTGGAGATTAAGTCTCCCAATAGATGTTTAGTCTTCAAATAAGGGCTGAATGTCTACAAAGTGCCAGAGAGTCTGAGGTACTGGAAAGACAACAGTTAGCAAGATAGCCAAGGTGCCTGCCCTCATGAAGTTTAAAGTTTGATGGAGAGACAGATAAATAACCACACACTTGAATATCCATGATACAAATTACAGTAAGGGACATGCCCATAAAGAAAGGGAATGTGGCCTTTGCCGGGTTGCACAGTGGTTAGAGCATAGGCCCACGGACCAATGAGTCGCGGGTTCGATTCTGGCCAAGGGCATGTACCTCAGTTGTGAGTCATCCTCGGCCCTGGTTGGGGTCGTGTAGGAGGCAGCCACTCGATGTGTCCCTTTCACATTGATGTTTCTCTCTCCCTCTCACTCTATCTGAACAAAAATGGAAAAATGTCCTCAGGTGAGGATTAAAAAAAAAAAGGAAGGGAATGTGGCCATATGAGTGGATATGGCAAAGGAGCCTGTTCTAGATTATGGGGTCAGAAGAAGCTTTCTTGAGGTGGCTTGGTAGAAGTGAGGTCTGAATAATAAGTATGAATTAAATAGTTAAGAATAAAAGGAAGAGTTTTCTAGCTTGGGGGAAAGGTCCATGACAGGAGGAACCATAATAACTAAGAAAATCTGAAAGTCAGAGGGACTACAACAGAAAGAACAAAGAAAAGCAAGGAATGAGGCTGGATAGGTCGGAAGCAACCAAAGCATGGGGGCTTGGAGTCCTATCTTTACCAAAACGACAATGAAAAGCAACTAATGGGGCCAAAGATCAGGTGACAGCGTGAAACTAGGGGAGGTGGAGCACCAGCGACCTTCTGAGGATGACATCAGGAACCATCACCATGTTCTGCGGCCACCAATCCATCAGATCCAGGATGTAGGACAGAAAGCCCAAGAGCCAGACCCATTAGATTTTTCTAATGATTAGAAGAATTCGATGTTCAGAGGACAAGAAACCACACAGAGGATCTCACCTGAACAACAGGAAATATGTGAATAAAATCCATCCCCTGAATCTGGTGAGGCTCCAGCTGGTGTGGACACTTCATTCTTGGCAGAACTGAGACAATTTTTTCTGATAGAGCTCTATTTGGAAAAAAACAACAAACAAAGAGTGAAAATACACCATGTGACCCTTAAGACATATCTCAAGTCTGGGCAGCATCCCAGAAAAATCTGGGCTTCACAGTGCCAGACCATGACCAAGTTTCTCCTGGTTGACCGAAAAATTAGAAAAAATAAGCACAATTTGGATGTGTGTGTGCATGAGTGTAGGACCACAAAATTGCCTTCATCCTTTATTCTAAGACTGTGTGCTTCCTACCTTTTCATATTAACATATTTTGGTTCTTTATGAAATTATGGTGATGTTTGAGGTAATAATTTTGATTTTTTAACATCTTTATATGGTAAAATAAAAAGTTATCAGGGTCCCAATATTCTTTTACATTTCATTTTACTGACCTACTTTTCCCAAAAGTTTGGGAACCACTAGGTTACACATTAAAAAAATTGTTGTAAATAGCAGTCAGGCAAGAAATAATTACCAGAATTGTGCCAGGTACCCAGAATATTAAGATGAAACATGGTGCCTCAAACTCAAGAAAAAATTGGAGTTCTCTACTCTGGTACAAAAGTATTTTTTTAGAATATGTTTTTATGGATTTTAAAGAAGGAGGTAGAGGGAGAGAGAGATAGAAACATCGATCAGCAGCCTCTTGCATGCCCGCTACTGGGGATCAAGCCTCCAACCCGGGCATGTGTCCTGACTGGGAATTGAACCAATGACTTCTTTGTGCAAGGGATGATGCTCAACCAACTAAGCCAGACCGGCCAGAATACAAAAATATTATTTTAAACCAAAAATAGCCTTTAATTTTTTGATATTCTAAAATCAATGCTAGATTTGGGGGAAGCATGTATCCTCTTTTTTTCCAGAAAGAAATTTTCTGCTTCTCATGAGGGACACTAATCTCTCTCCAACACCTTACCTCAGTCCTCCTCCTAAAAGGATGGGAGCAGGAGGGAATGAATCAGGCTCCCTGAGGTCTGGATGCATTTTATCTCAGTCAGGAGGTAAGCACCCTTCCCCTGCTGGAGAGGTTTTTCAGCTCCATCTGGGCCTGGGAGGGACAGTTTTATGGCAAGGGTGATGGAGGGACTGTGTGCAAGTCCATTTCACCACAGATTTAAGCCTCCTTCTCTAATCAGTTGGTATTTGATCTCCAATAGTCTTCCCCCATATTAATTGAATCAGAGTCAAGAGGAGAGGAAAAAGGTATTTAGTGGTTCTGCTAAACCCCAAAGCCATGGCACATAAATGGGAAACTTGAGAAACAGTCATCAGGCATGGTCCTATGGGGCCATATGGAGAAATGGGGACTTCTACTCTGCCTATATGGATAGTTTAGATTATATCCCCATTTAAGACCCTTTAAAAAAAAATCTTAGCCAGTTACAACAAATACTATGGCCTTGTTTATAAGTGTAGGACTATTTGCTACTAGATGAAGGCCCTGGTGAATGAGGTCACCAGGTCTTACAAGATGCTTCAAATTCAGTAAGTTTTGGGTCTACCCAAAGTGCACCTGGTTCAAAGAAATCTCACACATTTTTATCTTCCTGCAGTACCATAATCTTTCCCAGGAGACAAGACACTCTTAAGACCAACATCTAACTCAGGCTTGGGTAAGAGCAATTATTGTCTTACCTATGTTCCCTTAGTAGGTTTCATCTTTTCTGTCTTTGTAGGAACTAAGTAATCTAGGGACAAAAACTAAATGGCTCCCCAGGGAATGGTCCCTGGAGAACACATTACAAAAACATTTATATACAGAAAGTAGCTTTATAAGGTGGGACCAAGGTTAAAACTGCAGAGAAAAACAGCCACACCCCCCTAGGTCCACTGACCTGTAATATCAATGTCAAGTCGAATATGTGAAGAGAAAAAAATTTGGAGAGGGGAAGACTGATACCCTACTGTACACATTCACAGAGGTAGAAATATCCACACCCCAGGATGGGAGCATATAGGAGGTACGATTTACCCATAAGGTCTGAAACATGACAAAATTGTCATGTGGCTCTTAAGTCATTCCTGCAGTCCCTCCTTTCAGAGCAGCCTATGGGTCACATGCATCTTTTCGACCATGACACGCGTGCCCTGCCCAGTGGGGAAGCCTGTGGTTCTCCAGCTCTTCCTGGGACTCAAACTGGATAATTGGTAGGGAAATATTAACAAACTCATTTGGCAATATATCTAAGGTGTTCTCTCTGATAAACTGTTTTACTTTCATCTCCATAAGACTCCTATGCCTTGAAACTGGAGAGGGAAAGAATGGGTGCTTAATTAGCCCTGCTCTTCAGCTCCAAGCTTAGCAAATGAAAAGGATTACCAACCCTGGCTCTCTGCCCTTGCTCCAGGCAGCTCTTAACTGTTTATATATGGGGAGGACCCATTTCCTCTCAGCTGTATTTTGGTTCAGTAGGAGGAAAGCTCCCTCTAGTGGCTACAGATCTATGGGTTTGCCCAGGGTTACTGATTGCCTACAACCATTCAGTAGCTTAAAAATCAAGGCTGGGACCCCCAACAACAATCAGCCCAACCCTCTACCTTTAGACAAGGTTCTCCCTGGCCACTCCTCAAAGACAGCTTACTCTCCCAGTTCATAAAGACCCCAAGAAAAGGATGCTGCAAGTCACCTCAGAATTACCCACCTTCCAGAAATGACGGCCAAGTCTGAACAGTCTTGGCAGGGCATGGAAACACCTGATGGCACAGATATTTTTGGAGGGTGGAGGTGGGGGAAACACAGATAGGTGGGGGGCAGGGGACAAAGTCAGGAAGACTTCCTATAGAAACCCACCAGTTTCCATCTGGCTTCTTGAGCTCAGGGTGAATCCTCCGACTTTCTGAAAATAAGGGGGAATGACAACTGCAGAGGTCACCAGGCAGGTTTCCTAGTCTAAGACTTTAACATACCCACTTGTTATTACAGGTGAACAGTTTGATTCTTTAGTTTTTAAGAGTGTTCAGTGCACTGTTTTCTCCTCTACTGCAAATAGTTTAAAAGAGTGAATTAAATCTGGGTCTAAATTCCAGTTCCATCACCCTTGCTGGGACTTTTGACAAGTCACCAGGTCCCTCTGGCCCAATAATCCCATCATAAAACAAAGGATAACTCCGTCCTGCCTATTCAAAGGTTGTTGTGAAGGTTAAGTAATAAAAAGCACATGCAAGTGCTCTGCACACAGGGGCCTAGTAAATGTGTATTGTTAAAATGAACTCAGTTATAAGCCTAAGTTCTGATTTATGGATCTCCGTGGTAACAGGACTTTAGGACAGACTGGAATGGAGGGCAGAAGCTCATGGAACCCTTAAGAAAGAAGGATCAAGAAGAATAAGGCCCCAGGTGGCACATATAGAAGAGCGTGAAAGATAACCATGCCCTCAAAGGACAAGTGTGCTCCTCAGACAGTGCTGCCTGGCCACCCATCACATCAGCTGAGATCTCTTGGGGCACTGCACACATAAGGCAGTATTAGGCTAAATTGCACCTAACCAGAAATTTTGTGGGGAGCGACTTTAAACACAGAACACATTAAAAAACCAAACAGGAAAAAGTTTAGGGTAATTCAATGTTCTGTGGCTATGACATTTCTCTACAGATAATAAAGACCCAAATGCCCAATGTACTTGGAGGAGTCTGATGGGTCATGCAAATCGCTGTCCCCATTTCTGCCCACAATTACAGTTCACATCAAGGACTTATCAGAGAATGTAATATATCTTCAACCCTTTATCCAAACTCTTTGGGGAGGAATGAGTTTCAGAATTCAGAATTTTTTGGTTGTTTGTACGTTAGTGTACCTAAGAGGCATATATTATGTATTATGTAGGACCCCAGTAAAATCTGGAGCAGCACCCTAAAATCAAAGAAATTAACATTTATGCAGCAGAAATTATGACTATTCATATAAGTGGGATCAAGAGAGACTATAGTTCAGTTCAGGTAATATTTTGCTTCCATATAAGTTTTGTATCTACACTTAAAAATAAAACATTTTCAGTGTTTTTTTCAGGGTTCAGAAATATGGATAAAGGATTGAGAATCTGTATTAAAAACACCATGCTTCAATATCTATTAAGAGTAGTGTCACTGATGGAAATGTATCATAACCCCCAGGGGCAGCAAGGTGAAAATGGACTAAGAACCATTGTAAAACTCCAAAGAACTCTAAGAAAGAGTAAAACTAGTCCAGAAAGAATGCAATGGAAGAAAATCCCAGCATGTCAGGGTGCCACAGTATAAAAATCAATCAATTCAAACTGTGACAGAAAGAGGCTTTAATCAAGAGTGTCCTCAAGAAGACAGTGAACCCCTGACCGGGTAGCTCAGTTAGTTAGAAAGTCATCCCAATACACCAAGATTGCAGGTTTGATACCTGGTTAGAGCACATACAAGAATCAACCAATGCATGTATAAATAAGTGGAACAACAAATTGATGTTTCTCTCTCTCTCTCTCCCAAATCAGTCAATAAATAAAAAGAAGACACTGAGTTCATATTAGTATATAGACCAACGGTTCTCAAACTGTGGGTCACAACCCCTTTGAGGGTTGAACCACCCTTTCACAGGGGTCGCCTAAGACATAACAGTAGCAAAATTATAGTTATGAAGTAGCAACAAAAATAATTTTATGGTTGGGGGTCACCACAACATGAGGAACTGTATTAAAGGGTCACGGCATTAGGAAGGTTGAGAACCACGGATATAGACTAATTAAAGAACTGTCTGATCTTTGCTACAGTTAAAGGTATGTGCTTCTTTGTTAACAACAACAAAAGGCGATCAGAAAAATTTTAAAAATAGCTATATAAATATAAAGTGAGTTACAGTTGACCTCTGAACAATGAGGGGGGTTGGGGTACTGACCCCATGTAGTCGAAAATTCATGCATAACTACAGTTAGCCCTCTGCATCTTCGGATTCCTAATTGCAGACTGAAAATACAATGTGCCTTTTTCAGTGGCTCACAGAGGCTACCTTCACTTGTTCAGGCCAAATACCTCAGAATAATCCTCGACTTCCCTTTTACTCATACTACAAGTCCAATTTGTCATAAAATCCTTAATACATCCAAAGTACCCAGAACAAGGCCTGACCCATAGTAGAAACTCAATAAAATATGCTGAGCCAATGAGTAAGTGAAAAAAGATTCCTTTTAAAAAAAAATTTTTTTAATCCTCTCCTGAGGATATTTTTCTGCTTATCTTCAGAGTGAGGTGGGGGGGGGGAGGACGATGACAGGGAGATGGGGAGGGAGGGAGAAATATCAATGTGAGAGAGAGACATCGACGACTGTCTCCTACACAACCCCGACCAGAGCTGGGGATGAACTGAAACCTAAGTAAGTGCCAATGACTGGAATCAAACCCGCAACTCATTGGTCCGCGGGCAGATGCTCTAAACGCTGAACCAAACTGGCCAGGGTGAAAAGAGATTACTTTTGATTGATATTTGTTTTTATCTTCACCAGAGGATATGTTTTTATTGATTTGAGAGAGAGAGAGAGAGAGAGACATCAATTGGCTGCCTCCTGTATACCCCAACTGGGGACTGAACGCACAACCTAGGTATGTGCCCTGACTGGGAATCAAACCTGCAATCTTTTGGTGTAGAAGATGATGCTCCAACCCAGCCAGGGTTTGATTGTGATATTTTATATATTCTTCTTTAAACAGTACCATTATGATCCAGAAGATTACATTTCCTTTTCTCTGACCCCATCACAATTCTTAGTTTTATTATAAACACTGTTTATTGATTCACTTTTAGAATTTAACTGTAGATAAAGTATGAACAATTTAATTGCTATTATTGAAGAGACTAGAAATATTATGCTCCAAACATTATGAAAATAATGTCAGCATGGTAGATGGAGGCTGAAAGGTAAAAGGAAAAACAGAGATACCAAAATGTTCAACCTATGTGCTGAGAAACTGTCTTATTAATAGGTCAAGAAACAGAAACTTAAGTAGATTAAAATTATACAAGTAATCATATAAAAGCAGATAATAATAAACAGACTGGAGGATGGAAGATGAAAGGGATTTAGTGAGTAGTACAGGTGAATTAATTTCCTCTTCTCATTGGACACAAATTAAATTTCATGGTTGCACCACCTCCATAATCAAAACAAACAAAAAGTCGAGAATAAAAAGCTACCTCTCAATTTAGCCTAACCAGTGGAGAGCAAAGCCATATACCTGGACTCCACTGCACTGCCTCCCAGTGTAGGACTCTTCACTACTGATGGTGGGATGTAATGACACAGTCCCAGGGCAGCAGATGTTGGGGATGCAGAGCCCCACTCTTCATGGCTGGGTACTGATGAGCACAGTGTCACTGTATTTAACAACAGGTGCCTTGAGGAGTGTCCTTTAGTCTTAGTAGTAAGAATTTTAGAGATTCTGAAGTACTGATTTTTCTTCTATCATACAGAAACTGTGAATTGGGTTATATATTGTTTTTCTTTTTGTTAGCTGACAGAAAGCTTAGAGCTAAATCTGTAGCCCATCCAAGGCATTTTGTGGCCCATCACAAATGTGTTAGCCTTGGTCCTAACTCTGCCTTTTGTCCCACTGTTTTTTCCTTTCTCTTTGCTTTATCTTTGCCTCACCTTTCCACTATTACTGCTTCATCTGCATATTTATAAACCATTTTTAATCCATTTGGAAGTGTTTTTTCTTAGGGGAAAATAAAGCTTCAAAAAAATAAATGAGTCACAAAATCATTCAGATCTGAGATCACAAATCCCGGTTCTTAGGGATAAGGAAACTGAGGCTTGCCTAAGGTCACACAATGGTCAGACTGGGAGCAGAACTGGGCATCCCAAATGGTCTAATGAGATCACTGAGCCCCTAGTGAGCTATGGAAGACCAGTCAGGGTGTCCTCAGGTGAAATCTCTAGCAAGGAGCCCCTACCATTTCTGATGACAGGCAAAGCCAAGCTGTCTTTCACAGAACCAACGGGAGGGAAAGATTCTCCTTTCCTCACCCTATTCAACTTGCATTCAAATTAGCTGCCATTAGAAAGACATATACTAAGCAGTTCCTAGAAACTTTGATCAAGAAAAATTATTCGAGTTGTTGAACAGCACTACTCATCAGGGAAGTATAAATCAAAAACACAATGAGATATTACCTCATGCCTGATAGAATGGCTGTCATCAAGAAGACGAGAAAACAAGTGCTGGTGAGGATGTGGAGAAAAGGAAATCCTTGTGTACTGTTGGTTGGATTGTAAGATTGGTCTAGCCATTATGAAAAACAGTATGAAGGTATCTCAAAAAATTAAAAATAGATCTACCATGTGATCCAGCAATTTCATTTCTGGGTATATATTAGAAAAAAACAAAATCACTATCTTGAAGAGATATCTGCACCCCCATATTCATTGCAGCATTATTTACAATAGCCAAGAGATGGAAACAACCTAAGTGTCCATCAACAGATAAATGGATAAAGAAAATGGAGTATATACATACTCTATTTTTGTGTACTGTTTTGTGTACATACAGTGGAATGTTATTAAGCCATAAAAAGGAAGTCCTGCTATTTGCAATAACATAAATAGCCTTTGAGGGTACTGTGCTAAGTGAAATAAGTCAGACAGAAAAAGGCAAATAATGTATAGTCTCACTTAACTGAACTCATAGAAATAGAATACAGACTGGTGTTTGGCAGAGGATGGGGTGGGCAAAAAGGGTAAAGGCAGTCAAAAGGTACAAAGTTCCATTATAAGATAAATTAAGTTCTGGGTATATAATGTAAAGCATGCTATTTTATCAATACTACATTGTATATCTGAAAATTGCTAAGGTAGATCTTAAAAGTTCTTATAAGAAAAATAAATGTATACCTATGTGAGATGATGGACGTTAACTAACCTTACTGTGGTAATCATTTCACAATCTCTCCACCCCCCCATATATATACACACATATCTCAAAGCATTATGTTGTACATCTTAAGCTAATACAATGTTATGTGTAAATTATATCTCAATAGAAGCAGAAAAAAGTTTTTAAAAAAGTGATAGAAATAGCCCTGGCCAGTTTGGCTCAGTGATTAGAGTGTCGGCCCACGGACCAGAGAGTCCCGGGTTTGGTTCCTGCTAAGTGCATGTACCTCAGTTGCAGTTTGTCCCCAGCCCCGGTTGGGGATGTGCGGGTGGCAACCGGTCGATGTGTCTCTCTCACATCGATGTTTCTCTCGTTCTCTCTTTCTCCCTCTCTCCCTCCCACTCTATCTGAAGATAAATGCAAAAAAATGTCCTTGGGTGAGGATAAAAAAAAAAGTGTTAGAAATAGCCTGAACATCAAAATGACTTATATGCCACCTGTGTGACCTTGGCTTCTTTCAGTCCATTTTGTAATCTATAAAACTGTGATAATACCTGTTGTAATGAAAATTAAAATAAAATATGTGAACTGTCTAGCATAACTTCACACAGTAGGCAGATAGTAGGCACTCAAAAGTTACTCTCTTCTCCCATTTTAGGTTCTTCCATGGCAAAGCCTAACAACTTACATTTTTTGACCTATTGTAGAATTTTCTTGAAAGAGCAAATCAACATCTACATCAAAGTTGCAAGTGGCAATGCACCAAGTCATTCCTCCTACCACCTGTAAGACAAAAAAAATGTTTTCTCTTTCTAATTTGGGGAGAGGGGAAAAAGTGAAAGGTAGTTAAGATAAAAATATTTTTACAGACTCAATGAACATATAAACTTATGTACTGTTAGACAGAATAGATATGCCTTGACTCTATTAACTACAATTCATCTAAAATAGCACTGTTGAATAAAACTTTCTGTAGTGATGGAACTGTTCCGTATCTACACTGTCCAATACAGCAGTTGCTAGCCACATGTGGTTACTGAGCACTTGAAATGTGGCTAGTATGACTGAGAAACTAACTTTTATTACTAAATAGACATATCATGCATAGACTTACTTTATACTGAAGGAAACAGACATTGATTCTTAGGTAAGAGAATTCTTAACCCAGTTTCAGGCAAGTGCCAGATTCCAGAGAATGGACCAGAGTTGCAAAACTAACATTTTGTGGCTCATTATTTAATTTCCATACACATTGTTTTTTCACCTACTGAAAGGAAATGTGAATCCCTGCTCTATTTTCCTCAAAGGATTTTTCTGAGATGCAAATGAGACTAAGGCTAAAAATCCATTTTGAAACAAAATCTTTTCGGACATAGCTTGATGTTTAAAACACACACACAATAGTGAATCTTACTCCTGGCTGTGCTGTAGACTCATGTTATTAGATGCCTAATAACATACAGATTCCAGGCCCCAACCCAGACCTAACTGACCAGAATTTCAACGGGTAAGGCCTAGACATCTGTATTCCTAAAACAATCCAGTGATTCTGTTATATACAGCCAGAATCTGGAGCACTCAACACTTTCTTCCACCAGGAAGCTTTCCTGGCCTGTCGTGTCTGACCTGAACACTTCTGTGTACAGTTTTCTACAGTAGTACTTACTGCATTATGCCATTTATTCTATGAATGTTGGTTTACTTGTCTCTCTTCCCTATGAGAGGTTGAGGCATTTGAGTACAGGGTATCTGTCTTATCTCTGTGCCCTCAACACCTATTACTATGTCTTGTGTATAATAATTATTCAAGATTCTGCTGAATTAAACTTCATCTCATAGTGACTTTTCCCTCCTCAAAACTAAGCATTTACCCTGAAACTCTGGAAACTGTCTGTAAGCACACTTGCGATAGCCCTTATTAACTCAGAGTATTTTATTTTACATAAGTTCCTCAAAATGAGGAACTATTTCATTTTCTTATTTGCATTTCCTAAAGTTTTGTGCATAGAAAAGGAATTCAAAGTGTATTTACTGATATATTATTTTTTCTTTTAATAAGAAATTGTACACTTCCACAATGACTCTGAATAAGGGAGAAATGGAAACATGGACATGGAGAAAGTAAAAACACAACCTCTTCCTCCTTTCCATGGTTAACCATGCCATCCTGATTAAATAACAGCCTAATGGTTAGAAAAATTTCCCCTTACCTTATCAAAAGGTGACAAGCCTTTAATTCTTGCCCTGAAATACCCAGCTGCAACCAAGAGCTCCAGAATTTCAGTCAACTTGACATTTTGTTCTTCATCTTCTCGTGTTTCTACCTAAAACAAAAGGTGAAAAGCCGGTAAAAGCTACCTTGAATAAAGAAACACCAGGTTTATCTCCTGAAGCCACAACCCTGCCAGGTGACACTGGCTGTATCACAGCAGTCATGAAGGAGCATGAGGACACAGTGCTGCCAGAGTTTCAGAGAAGACTCCCCAGTCCTCAATGAGCTGTTAAATCACTATAGGTGGGGGAAGAAGACACAGGCAGCATAGCCTATTTACCAGGTGCTGAAGGAATCCAGAGAAAGAAAGATTAAGGCACATTACCTCCTTGTTCTCTAACATATGGTTTACTTGACAAGCTTCTCAACTAGATTATAAATTCCTTACAGACAGGAACAGGGTGTTTTTTTGTTCTGTTTTTTGTTTTTAACTTCATACTCATTTTTGTCCAAGTTATTTTCGAGAAGAGAAAGAAGAATTCAAATATATATGCCTCTCTATACTTCTCTTTTTGATCCCTAAGGCAAAAATAAAGAAAGCTTTCAACCCAGAAATATTACAGGGTGATTACTGCCATATAACAGCATTGCCTGAAGCATAATACATTCACCTAGTATATTTAAATAGAAATTTAACAATTTAAATTTATATCCTACCCTCACTCCCAGGTGTTTACAAGTCAAATATATCTAAATATCCTAGTATATTTGCCTCTACTTACTTTTACGAACTGTGCCTCTCCTCTCTTGCATCATTATGGAAAATAAAAAGCCATCTGTCTATATAAAACACCAGCAAGGTATCCTAGTTCAAATCCTTATACCCACCACTTCTGACCATTGCTTTATTTAACAATGCCTGTTAAATCTTCCTTTACTACACATCTCACATTAATTGTCCCTTCCCTTTTATTTATACTTAATGCCAGGACTATTGCAACAGTCTCTCAATCTTTCATTTGTCTGGCTCATTCGTTCCTAAATCACAGCTATCACATCATTACCTCTCTAGCTCATCCCCTGGCCCTCATTATTAATGCATCATACACTGTCTATAAGATAAACTCTAAATGTCTTAGTTTGGCATCCAGATCTTCGGCTGAAACCTATCTTTTCAGCTTCATCCTTCACCTCCCCCCAAAACAATCCAGACATGGCTATGGCTAACCTAGATAAGTACTGTTCACACCACTCTCCTTCTCCTAATATTCTCTGATCACCAAGAAAGCATCCTCAAATTCTAGCTCCTATTTGATGCCAAACCTGACAGCATGAAATGGTCCTTTCTCTGCATTTCTATTTTATTTAAAATTCATGTCATTCATACAATTAAGTAACAACCTCTTTTGAGTGACATGTCTGATGTTAATGAACATGCCTGTCTTTCCAAACAGACTATTATATTAGCTAGTTCAGGAGAGGATCCCAATGTTATTCACTCATGTTTACTCCTCTGTTCTGAAATAGTTTTAGGCTTCAAAGACATTTATTATAGAATGACATGCTCAATCATTACATAAACTGCATGACCTAAGCCAGTCATGTATTAGCAAAATGTTTTCATAGTCATGACACTGATAATGGAAATTCAAGTTTATTTTGAAGTACAAACTGCCGGGAGAGGAAGTATACATATTAACATGTAGTTAATGCACATGGAATTATTAAAGTGACTGTTAATCCCTTGCAATGGTGGGGGGTAGGAAGTGGGGGGGGTGGGAGTGACAACTGTGCACCACTGCTCATTTAACTTAACTCTCAAATGACCCTGGTCCAGCCTATCAAAGATTCTGAAGATTAGCATTCACTAGTTATTAATAGACATGCAAAAATAAGGTAATATTAATTATTCACACCTTCTCTTCCTTAGCAAAAGATCTGCGATGGGTGAAAAACAGCTACAAGTGGAGAAACTCAAATAAAAGAAGGTAAAGAGCAGTTATGGTTCACACAGGTAAAACAGAAAAAAAATGGGATGATACAAGTATTTTCTTAAAACTCCTGGGATGTAAATAGGAAGCCTTCACTTGTTCAGTCATCATTCATCATAAAAACACTTCTAAGAAGAGGACAGACCATCACAGGAGGATCATCTCTGCCTCAACTTCTATCTAAGGAGCACCCCATGGAAGATGCATGGCCAGTGCTTCTCAACCACTCACCCCCAGAATGGAGAAGTACACTTTTGCCTGTGAAATAACTTTCTGGCACAAGACACTGAATGGATAATGCTAATAAGACCTCAAATTCATTTCACAGATTAACACTGAAACAAAATAGAAAAGACTATGAAAGAATACCCTCTTGAAGCCATAAAAAGCCACCAAGCTGGTTAATACATACAATTGTTAAAAAAAAAAAAAATTTAATTCTGGTAAAGATGAATGACTGGTGAGCTCCTAAATCAGAAGCACATTAAAATTTCAATTGCCTTGTATTGTAGTTCATGTAAGCTGGAGGACAGAGCTAAGTCCAGCTATCTTTCTATCCTCCACATACATACCATAAAAAACCAAAGTTAATGAATTAATAGGACTAGTAACAGCTTAATGATACAGACTATATGTAATAGTCTTTGAACTAAATAATAACTTGATTATACAGTCACCCTCTAAACTTACAGTTATTGGCCTCTAAACTGCCAATAACTGTCCTAGGCTCTTGGAAAAGTGACAAATAAGACCTAGCCTCCTAGCCGTCAGAGAAGGGTTAAACAAAGTTTATTTTAGAAAGATCTCCATTGGTAGTGGGACACTGAATTGGAAAATTTTAAGGCAGACCCACGGTGATCAGACAGGAGTCTAAAACAAAAGGCCAGGCAAAATCTTGATGAGAACCTAGACTAAAGAAGTGGCAAAAAAGAAATGTCAAATAAAATACCACAGTACAGAACCCAGTATTCACGATTCCTGGCTCCATCAAAGCAACTCCTACATACGGTTTTACCTAATTCAAGGGTTCTGATAACATACACTTGTTAGGATGTCCTAAGACAACAAAATGGACTTGCATTCTGGGAACACACACTGACAGGTAAGTCTATCCTTCCATCACGATATCCCCAGCTTTTATGCGCAGAACAAGATCTCTCACAATTAGTGGATACTTGTGAGATGAAAGACCGGAGGGGGACAGAGAAACAAGATTGGTTACAGGCAAGTAAAGAGTGAAGGAACCCCTCACCACGTGCAGAAACCAGTCCCCTTGCCAAAGGCCCGCCTCAGAACCTTAAGAGGGGGATAGAGGTGCGGAATAGGTTCCATTTCTTTCGAGAACTAATAAACCTGACTAGCTTCCGAGTAAGACAACTGGAAGAGAAGGCAGATGTAAACCACCTAGCTAAGTGATATTTGCACCCCGAAGGAAATGCACTTCCCCTTTATTCCGAGCCAGTGTGGAAATTCAGAAACCACTGATTATCCTATCCCTTAAGACCGAGTGCGTACTTAATAACAAACACCTATGGAAGAAAAGGCACTCCGTTATCTTCTGGAGAAATGACAACGCTTCCACCCGGCGCTGGGTCCCCCTGCCCCACAGCACCCACCACTGGGCCCCGCGGCACACTGACCCGGCCGGATACAAGCCACTGCGGACACGGCCCCCAAACGTCCTTCGGCCTTGGGGTCTCAGCGCTGGGGTTACTGCAGGGGGCGTTCCCCCAGACACCAAGGAGGGCGGGGCTGGCCCGGAGACCCCCGCCGGCCCCGCGAGGCGGCGGCAGGCGCCAGAAGGTCTCCGCCCTTTGCACAACCCGAGCCCGGACTGTCCCAAAGCCCGTCTCGTGACTCCTGGCGCAGCGGCCCCGGCCCTCCGGAGAGCCCCGCGGCGTCGAGGGTGCAGGAAACCCGCTCGAGGAGCGGGAGAGGTGGGACCCCGGGCCCCGCGGCGCTGGGGCAGTTGCAGGGTTGAGAAGGCCACCTCACTCCTAGGAGACCCGGGTACACCTGAAGTTAGTCCACGCCCGCGCAGGAGGACGTGCTCAGGCCCGGCGGACCGGCCGGTGCTCCCGCGGTGCACACACCTGAGAAGGGGGCGGGGCGCCTCAAACGCGGCCGGGCCGCCTCTGCCCGCCGCTGGCTGGCTCGGCCCTCTCTCCGGCACCCGACGTGTCAGGACGGGGGGTGGTCCTTACCTCTGGGAGACCCTGGCCCTCCGGCTCCTTGGGCAACCCCATGATCCGGTGGGACCGAAGTGCGGCGGCACCGAAGTCCGCCGAGCGTCCGGAGGAAGCTGTCCCCCGCCGCGAAGCTGCTACCGGGGTGGAGTGCAAAGCGGGAACTTCCTCCGCCGCCGCCGCCGCCGCCGCGGGCCGGGAGCGCCTCTGCCCCGTGGAGCATGCGCACTGGGGCGGGAACGCGGCGCGACGGCGCCTGCGCGAGGGCGGCTCGGGTGAGGCGGGACTCGGCGACCTCACGGCTGTTGTGCAGCGCTGTGGGAGCTTGGCGCCGGGGCTCTGCAGATTTCTCCGAGGTGCTTTATGAAAGGGACTGTGGCTGCATCTTGGGGAAATGTTTCACTCTGGGTCCCCTTTCTGCTTCTCCCAGGCATAACTGAAGTGGGTTCAGTTCAGCCGGACTTCGGAAGCCCCCTCGCTCCCGGGGCAGAGTCCGAGCACTGAAGAGCTTAGGGGTTCCAGATTCGGGCCCGGTGCTAGCTCAGAATCGAGGTGTCCCTGATTAATGTGTACTTGAGCAAACATCTCAATATGCAGACCAGGAACCGAGCCCCCGGAAAAGGTTTCTTCACGCCTGCTGCTTCCCTCCCTACTGCCTGAGCCAGAGGAAAACTCGTCTGGGATAATGTCCTCTCATCCCACCCCCACCCCCACCCCCACTACCCCAGCTTCTGGTCTTCCTTAAGGGAAGGTTTTCTCGAGAAGGCGACTCCAGTGTTGAGGTCATATTAGCTGTCACGTCACTTACATAATGCATCCCTAGTCTATCCCAGAGGATGGCAGCTACCTAGATGAGGTCTTCCTGGCCACAAGCCACTGCACCTGCTCCATAATGGCTTCACCAGCAGTTTCTTCCTCTTCCTCTTCCTCCCTTCTTCTTTCTCTCCTCCCCCCTCCTCCTCCTCCTCCTCCTTCTTCTTCTGTGAAAACTTGTTCTTAAAATTGATTTTAGAGACAGGGAGAGAAAGAAACATGATCTACTGGCTGCCTCCTGTAGGCACACTGACCAGAGATCCAACTGGCAACCTGGGATTGTTCCCCAACCGGAATTGAACCCACAACCTTTGTTTAAGGGAAGAGCTCCAGCCAAGTGAGCCACCCAGCCAGGGTGACATGTGAAAACTTGTGATGCTTCCCTCTCTGTGTGTGTTTGAGGAGGGACAGGAGTGTGAGGCTATGAGCTCCTTGAGATCAAAGAGGGTATGTGTGTGTGTGTGCGCGTGTGTTTCCTCTGTTTCCCTAGAAGCTTAAAAAGTGAGTATACAGTAAATGTTTGTCCTTGAAGAAATTCTTCATGCTTTTGTACTCCCTTTGGAGTTTATCCTGGCAGAACAGAGATGTCTCTGGCACCAGAGTACACAGTGACTGGAAGGACCTTATGCACCGCCATTTCCTTCCTAAATGTAGTAAGCAAATATGGCAGACAAAACTCGGTGCCACCAGTCCTGGCTGGGTAGCTCATTTGGTTAGAGCATTGTCCTTATACACCAAGGTTTCAGGTTTATCCCCTGGTCAGAGCACATAGAAGAATCAACCAATGAATGATAAATAAATGGGACAACAAATCAATGTTTCTCTCTCTCTCAAATTAATAACAAAAACAACAAAACTGTCTGCCACCTTCCCCAGTCCCCAAGAATTTAAAAAAAAAAAAGAATATGCAAATTAAGGTATTGAGATGGGAACTCAGTCATGTTAGTTTTATGTGTATTAAAAAATGATGAAATAGCCCTGGCCAGTTTGGCTCAGCGGTTAGAGCGTCAACCTGTGGACCAGAGAGTCCTGGGTTCAGTTCCTGCTAAGGGCATGTACCTCGGTTGCAGTTCGTCCCCAGGCCCGGTTGGGGTCATGTTGGTGGCAACCACTCTATGTGTCTCTCTCATGTCGATGTTCCTCTCTCTCTCTCTCTCTCTCTCTCTCTCTCTCTTCCTCCCTCTCTCCCTTCAGCTCTATCTGAGGATAAATGCAAAAGTGTCCTCGGGTGAGGATAAAAAAAAAAAGATGAAATAGAAACGATCTCTTGCGCTCATCCATTGTGAAGCCAACGAAACTCGATATCTGAGGTGCCCACTCTCATAACACTCCAAATGTGTTATTTTTGTAATCTTAAAATTGTCCTTCCCTGAGATGGTAAGAATGAGGGAGAATGGAGGGTGATATAATTTGTAACCACTGTTGGGTGACCAGACAGATATTGATGCCTAGGGACAGGTAGCAAAATTTCACATAGCAGGCAAGCGTAAATAGCTGTATATAAAGCAGCCCAGAGAATACAATAGGACTCTGATAGGCTATACAGGAGTCCCCTATTGTAAATGCCTTTGCAATGTTTTAAATAAACATGAGCAGCTATCTTTCCCAGTAAGAAACTGTCCTGTTTTAACTGTCTTTGTAAAGTGACAGTAGCAGACTTGAGTTGACAGCATGTTATTTTTGTTTTTTGTATGAGATTTCAGCAAAACAGCTCAAGAATGCTTGAGCAGCCCACCTTTGAGAGAGAAACCCTGCACAGCTTTGGAGACAATGTAGGTTTGTGAGGACTCTCTTAGATAAATGCATCTCTTTCCCTCTCCCCTGGTTCAGGGTATCCACACACACATTTTGTCTCCCTCATGGGATATTTGGGGATTAGGAATTATCTGCTCCTCCTCTGCACATCCAGTACAGAGGTATGTGATGTTCTTCTAAGAGCAAGATTCTCGGGAACCTCACAAATACTTTCCTGGGTAAAAGTATGCCACAGTAAAGAGTTTCCTGTTAGGATCACCTTTATCCTGATGAAGTTTTCTATAAAGCCTCAATCATTCTGTCTTCATGTTTCTCTTGGTCCTTTCACTCTGGACTCTTGCTGTGACTAAGAAGTGGAATTACAAAGTCTTGAAGCAGGAAGGGACTTTAGGAGGTATTTAATGCAACTATGGGCATTTAGAAAAGTAGAGTGACACTGTTTAGGTCACATCATGTTAGTGGCAGTGCTGGGACTAGAGCCCCACATTTCTGATTTACAATGTCCTTTTATTCATCCATCATCCTCCCTTCCTCCCTCCCTTCCTTCCTTCCTTCCCTCCCTCCTCCCTCTGTCCATTCATCCAACAAATATTCTGAGTTCCTTCCATGTCATTGGCGCTCAAACTTGACTGCATGTTGGAATCACCTGGGGAGCTTTAAAAGCTACCATTGCCTAACTGAGTTACACCATCCAGAGATTCTGATTTAATTGGTCTGGGGAGAAACATAAATATTTAATTTTTTTCTTTGAAATACATTGTTTTATACATAAGACAATATATATATCGTTTATATATAAACCAATATGGAGAATATATACCCTGGGCAACCCAATAGTGAACAGTGACTTCATCGTTATAATGTTTCTTTATAGAGCACAGTGGCACACAAAATTTAAAATTCATAAACAAACTGAGAGTCCTTAAGTTAAAAGGGTTCTTCCTGACAATTCTTACTTGTCTGTCCATCTATTCTCAAATAGTAAATTTTTACAACACACTTCATATTGAGGGGGAGTGCGTTTTTAAAACTTCACAGGTGATTCCACTGAGCAGCCAATTTGAGAACCACTGTTCTCTGGCACTGGAGATACTGCAGTCAGCAAACCAGACAAGATAATTACTGACAGAAATTAAACATGTAAATTAATAAGATAATATTGTGTAGAAATAAGTCCTCTGCAGGGAAAATTCAAACCAGTGTCATGTGATACGGCATAGCTGGAGTCTGAGGCTCCTCCAGGTGGCTCTCAGGGTGAGTGGAGACCTAAATCCTGAGAAGGTGCCATGGGAGCATCTCAGGGAAAAGCACTCCAGGCAGGAGGACATCTGGGGTGAGCTGGTCATCTTTCCTCTGTCCATCCAGATCCACTCTCACCTTGATTGGTGCTTATACAAGGCTGGCTAGGAAGGACCTCATCAGCAGAGTTTAGAGTTTGGGCACCTAGGTGTGAAGGTCTGGGGTGTGGATCCTTGGATGGGGGATCTAAGTTATGGGGCCTGGAGAGTAGAATCTTGATAGTAATTTGACAAAATGTATCAGAACTTAAAAACTATCCCTGGATATGATAATTCCATTTTCAGGATTTGTGTACAAAAATCTTCATCACAATGTTACTATGACAGAAAAATCTGGGAACTATGTAAACAGCCCATAAAAAGGGAATGGTTAAATACATTATAGTATGTCCATTGGGTGTCACATCATGCTGCCAGTAAAAATGTTCACTGCAGCAGGCCATGAAAGAAAGGATGAGAGGTAATGCTATCTAATATTAGTAATGTCTGCCTGTCAAAAAAATCATCGAAACATTTAAAAGGCAAACTGGAAAACTATTTATTACTTGTGACAAGTTATTACAAATGAGGGGAAAAAGTAACAGAAAAATGAGCAAAAGACTTGAATAGAGAATTCCTAAAAGAAATTGTCACTAAATATTTTTTTAAAACCATATTCTCAGCTTTACACTAAAGTTAAAATTAGGTACCTTTTTGAATGAAAGAAATAATGTTTTAAGAAATTTACACTAATGTCATTGCACTCCCTAGTCACTGAGTAAGTTTTTGCAAGGATTCTGGAGGGCAAATTGGCAAAATTAATTTTTCAGCGAATATTTATTGAATGCCTACTGTGTGCCAGGCACTGAGAAGGGTTCTTATTTGGGGTGTGGGAGTGATTCTGCAGCCCAGGCACATCTGGAGTTTTCACAGTGACTGGGAAATATGTATTACCATCATTTAACACCCAGCTGTTGTGGATATCAAGTCACCTACCTTGACTCTGAGTCATAAGAGTTGCTTTGGCAAGAAGAATATGGGAAGACATGAGATCGTGCCAGTTTTGGGGATAGGTGTTAAGAACTTTTTATTCTGTGTTTTCTTCACTCTCTTATGCTCTTTCCATCCATCACAAGAACATATCCAGGCAGCCACTGCACCCTTGCCGAGGCCCTTGAATGAGAACCAGATGTGAGAGAAAAGTGAGCAGATCAGAGACCCCAACCCAGCCAAACCCAGCCAAGCCAGAGCCATAAGTGGGATGTCAGTGTATGTTGTGAGCACTGATATTTGGAGAGTGTTTGCTAAGCATTGTCATC